ACCAGCAACCTTTTTGCTGTGAGGCGATTGTGCTACCCACTGTGCCACTGTGCCGCCCAGGATTTAAACAAACAACACTTTGCAACCACTTTCCTTAAAAACATTCAGCAAATATAATTAATCATTTTTCAGGGCACTAACCAAATACGTTATAATTTCGGTAATAAATGCACCACAATGAGGGTAAATAAACCTTTACTACAATGAAACAATTTCTCACAAGGGATGTAATGAGGATGATGCAGAGCACTGTTCATCTTGAAGGATGCTGGTGAACATACAGAACTGAATCTGGCTCAATTTACTCCGTGAAGGGCAGACACTTGTCCAGGAGTCTGTTGGTGTAAACACCCATCAGTTGTGGTCAGTTCTGCTGCTGAGTCCTCTTGAAAGGGGCTGTCATCCTTGAGACAGGGGCTCAGCTGCTCGCTCTGCTATTGATAACTCTGCTGAAAGCTGCCAACAATTTGTCAGAGAGTTTTAAATGTGATGTGACTTGAGGACCTCATTTTAAACAAGTTTCACTTTTTAATTATCATGAATGAACCGTGAACTTGATGATGATTGTTACTGATCCTTATTTTCAATGACTGGATAAAAGGCAGGATTAAACAAGTTGATGCTTCACAGTGGCTCAGTGGTTAGCACTGTCGCCTCACAGCAAGAAGGTCGCTGGTCTGAACCCGAGCTGATCCAGCTGGCATTTCTATGTGGAGTTTGCATGTTCTCCTCGTATGGGTTTCCTTCAGGTGCTCCGGTTTCCCCCACGTTCCAAAGAAATGCACTATATGTAAATCGAATGTGCCAAATTGGCCGTAGTGCATGTATCAGTGCGTGTATGGGTGTTTCCCAGCACTGGGTTGCAGCTGGAAAGGCATCAGCTGTGTAAAACATTTACTAGATAAGTTGGCAGTTCACTCTGCTGTGGCGACCACTGATTAATAAAGGAACTAAGTCGAAGGAAAATGAATGAATGAATAATAATAGTAATAAAGAAACTAAAATAGAAAAATACACATAATAATAATTAAAAGAATAATAATAAAACTAATAATAAAAATTATAATAATTTTAACAACATTGGTCATTATGACTTTAAGAGATTTTTATGACTTCTTATATAAGAACAAGCAAAAAAATAATTTGTTCTGCCTTTGAGGTACTTTATTAATTCTAAGGCTGTCATCAGAAACAATATTAAACTGTTTAATGAAACCCATTGAAAGAACAGAACAAAAAGCCAGGAAAACTCTCATCTAATTAAGTTAAATATTATGCATGTCACAGGCTTGATTATCAGTTGCTTGGCAACTTCAATTAAATAAACCTTTTTCCTCCAGTCTTGAGATGTTTAGTTTAGCTACATTTGAACGAAATGTCCTGCTTTTATCACACAATTTAACTAATGCTTTGGAAATGGCTTTTTAATTTTTTTAAATGTATGTTTTGAAAGTGCAAAGTAAATGAATGACAGGCAGTGTGTTTCCCAACAACGCTTTAGCTTAACCTTTTTAGTATTGTGGGAGAAAAAGCATGAAGTATTATGTTAATTCCACAGACCAGTTGTGTTGTAGCTCATCTAATTGTCCAAATAGTGGTTTCTAGATTTGGCAAATGTATTAAACAACATTAAAATCCATCGACATGTTTTAATTAATGACACCAAAACTGGCATATGGTGAAAAACACACTAAAACCAATGCATTTTTTCCTTCTTAATCACATGCAAGTGCTTAATCTTGAGCTTTGCTTTTGAAATACAAAGCGATTACATCTGAGAAACAATGTTTCTTTATTTTTAATCTTTAATAAGGATAAACATACGTAAATACTGAAAAAAGGTCAATTATTGGGGAGCTCAATGAAGAGATTTAATGGCCAAAGGCCATGAAGTAGGCTTCATTGTCTAAACCATGTTTCTCAGCCACGTTCATGAAGGACCACCAGTTCTGTTCTGTTCTGGTCTCTTTAACCAAACACGCCTAATTCAGATAATCAGCTCATTAGCAAAGACTGAAAGACCTGTAATAGATGTGACAGACAAAGGAGACATCCAAAACATGTAGTGCTTGTGGTCCCCCAGAAAGGTGGTTGAGAAAAACAGCTCTAAACGTTGTCCTCTTTTTTGCATTTCGACAGAATTAATGTCTTTCAATGAACTTTTGAATGAACCAATATTTATTACATGATTTAATGAGACCGAATTTTTCAAAGTAATTAGGTACGTAAGAAATCTAAGCACAAATAAAAGTCCAATTAGCCTAAAAATGGCCTTGGCTTTAAAGAAAGATTTCAGATATTATGACAATAAAAGCCTAACAAAAGTGTGTGAGTCACAGCGCTTGCGTCGCATGATTAAACTATATTGTTCCAAACAACACCTCATTGTCAAGTGGCCTCTAAGCAGAGGATGTTTTTTTTCATGGAGTTTCACTCTATAGAAATGGCTAGTCTGAGGTCTTTGTTCTGCAACAGTAGAGCTGTATCCATGCAGACCAAATGATTGCATAATTCAAAGCTACATATTTAAATGCATTCTGTTCACTGAGCAGACCTACCTTATTAAGACTTGATAATAGTCAACCATAGACGAGGGCTGTGATGGTTGTATGGTGATGGTATATATGAAGAGAATAGTGGATTTAAATCCCTTTACCCCATTTTAGGTCAATGAAGGATCATCTTCCTCTGAGAAATTTGTTGACTTTGTGCATTTAAATCCATAGAACTCCCAGTTTAACCCCAAAAATTATTAGAAAACACAAATTTAAACATAGTTTTGCCACATTTTTCAACTAAAATAAGCAAAAATGCCTTCATTATTTGTGATATTTTCTTCTATTACCAGTATATATGGCCATGGCAGGCACTATTAAATTTATTTAGATGTTACAATCTCTATATTACATGACATATTTTTATGTATGTATTATATTATTTAAACATAACCTACTCTTACTAATCAAAAGTATGGGGTCAGAAAAAAATAGTGTTTGTAAAGAAATTAAATCTTTTTTCAGTTAATTTATTATTCAAATAAATAACATTCTTTTGAATGTTCTTATTTAAAAAATCCTTAAACAAAATATGTATCATGACGGTAGCCATAAAATATTAAACATGTAAAACACTGATAAAATGGAAGTACACTAAGAAAAAAGGTGCAAGAGCCATCACCTTTGTCAGTACCTTTGCAAAATGTATTTTTTGTACTTTTAGTGGTGTAAAGCAACAAATTACAAGCTTATTATATTTGAGTAGTTTTTTTCAGGAATTGTAATTTACTAGGTAGTTTTAAAAATGTCTACTTTTACTTTCCCTTAAGTACATTTTTAGTGCTGTATCTGTATTTTTACTCCACTACTTTATTTCTTTCTTGTCAATGGTGATTGGCTAAAGTAGAATATCAGTCCTGTGATTACTGTCCAATAAAATCGCACATATAAAGTAAATCTTGTCATACTGAACTACCTTAAGACATGGGCGATTTATAACTGCAGCAAACTGTTTACAAGCATTAAAAGTGTTCAAGATGTTCAAAATCATCACACGCAACGACCCAGAGAACGTTTGGACTGCATGTCACTGATGAGAAGATGAAGGATGTTAACTGTATGATTGAAATCACTCAACAGCCTTAAACAATCACTAAATGGAACGAATGAAGAAAGGAAAGAAGGGCCAAATGAAGGAAGGGATGGAAGAAATAACCGAACGAAGGAAGGACCGAACTGATGAAGGAAGCAAGGACCAAATGAATGAAGGATTCAAGGAGAGACTGAACAAACTAAGGAAGGAAGGAAAGAACTAATGAATTAATGAATAAATGAACAAAGGACCTAATGAAGAAAGGAACAAAATATGAATGAACGAATGAATGAGCAAATGAATGAAGGGAAGAATGGAGGAAGGACCTAATGAATAAAGGAAGGATTCGAGGTAGGACTGAACAAACCAACGAGGGGAAGGAAGGAAGGAAGGAAGGAAGGAAGAAACAAACAAACTACTTTTTCTCATATTTTGAGTAATACTTACAGTTAATCAGAATTATTAGCCCCCCTTTCAATTTTTTTTTCTTTTTTAAATATTTCCAAATTATGTTTACTAGAGCAAGGAAATTTTTACAGTATTCATTCATTCATTTTCCTATCGGCTTAGTCCCTTTATTAATCATGGGTCGCCACAGGGGAATGAACTGCCTACTTATCCAGCATATGTTTTAAACAGCGGATGCCCTTCCAGCTGCAACCTATCACTGGGAAACACCAATATACTCCCATTCAAACACATTCTACAGACAATTTAGCTTACCCTGTTCACCTACAGTACATGTCTTTGGACTGTAGGGGAAACCAGAGCTCCCGGAAGAAAGCCACATGAACTGCAAACTCAACAGAGAAATGCCAAGTGACCCAGCCGAGGCTCGAACCAGCAACCTTCTTGCAGCGAGGTGATCGTGTTACCCACTGCGCCACCGAGATGCCCGTATTGGTTTGTTTGTATAATTTTAATTTATTAGTACAATATCAGTCAAATGTACCAATGTAAACCACTTCAGTACAAATGCGTGCCTTTTCCAAAAGGTTCTGTAGAGATCACTCTCGAGCCTTGACTCTGAGAATGTACTTTAATCCTAAGTTAAATGAATTTCTTTCTAGCTAGCTTTTTGAGGTACTTCAAATAAATGGTAGATAAATAAAATGTAAGTAATGGGATGTTGATATTTCAAGTTGAGCACAACACATGAATCAAATTCAACACAATGTGGACATATCCGCATAAAAATGATTGGGATTGATTTTATTCACCATTCCAGCAAAGAAAATGTTATACAATTCATGCCTACCATACGGGTGTCTCTTCCATTCCCACTGAAATCAATCTCTTTTTCTGTCTGTGCAGAGAGGTGAACAAATGTCAATGAAATCCCCCAGACAGCCAACAAGAGATCATGTAAAGTCCTCATACTTCCTATTGTAAACGTAAACTCTTCTAGTCTTTCATTGTTCCGCCCTCATGTAGAAAATGATCTTAAAATTACTTCAGATATAAAACTGACAGTCCTTCTTCTTGGCGGTTTACGATTTGGTCCACTGTGCTTCAGGGGTCCACATTAGGAAAGGTACTAACTTTATTGTTTCTACTGATGCGTCTCTCAGGTCGGACTCTGGGCTGTTTGGTCTGGATGAGCTCCTCTGGTGTGTTACCTAATGGAGGCAAGAGTCTTTTCTTACTGTTCCTGGTTTCAGGCAGCCATTGAGGGGGCAGCTCAAACGGCCCAAAACCAAATTGTGTCGCATCCTCAGGGTCCGTAGGAGTTGCGGGGGCAACTTGCGAAGAGGAGTAGGCACATGACTGAATAGGGGAATGTTTTGGTAAAACTAAGACCTCTTCTTTAACCCCTTCCCCTGGCTGCGGCTGATGTGTGTTATCTGTCGCCCCTGCATTTCCACCTTGTCCTTCATCTTTGGGTTGAAAGTTGGCAGACGCCACTGAGGAAATCTCATTCTCATCTTCTTCATCCTCGTTGGGTCTGAAGATCTGCTGTTGGCCGATATTGAACATCTCCAGGAGTTGACTACCAGAGCGAACCACAGTCTCACCACCTAGTGGTCCTACCTCAGCCAGACCTCCAATGCTGACCATGTTCCTTCTGCTGTAGCGTCGATGGAGGCGTGCTAGCATATCAAGAAGGCACCGTCGCACAGATCGGTTAACTGTGAGGAGAAACAGTGGGTTGGTGAGGAGCGAGACCTTCGGGAGCCATATGGCAGTCAGACGTAACCAAGATGAGGCTTTTGCAGCCCCCAGTATGGCGTGGTATATTAGCAGAGCAGCATATGGTGTGCTGCAGAGTGTGAAGACGAGCACAATGGATAACAGAGTTGCATGAAGTTCAGCCTCACGTTGAGACACATACGGGATGGAAATGCTGTTCTGAGGGGTGCGCAGCGCCGCGATGATCACTTTCTTCTTTTGGCTGGTGCTTAATGCGCGGCGGATTAATACCATGGCGAGAAACACCACTGCTAGAGGGAGAATAAGAGTGGTGATGCTGTATGTAATCATGTAAACAAGATGTCCAAGCGATTGTCCGTCAGAGCAAGATGAGGTGGCGTAGACATCTGTCACATTGCTTACAGCGAAAACAGGGACACTGGCCAACACTGCATGAACCCAAATGTAGATTACCAGGTCTCTGGATCTGGCATCTGATATCTTTCTCTCAAGAGGATACAACACTGAGTAGTACCTGGAAGGGAAAGAAAGGTGAAGTCACATTAGATTTTGGCAATGGTGTAGTCCTCAGGCTGTGAGGGGGTCTAAGGGGTGGTTCTTATTTCTCAAAATGTGGACCTTTTTGCAGTTATGCGCCTCATTTTTTATTGATGAGACTTAAATACTGCATTTTAAGTACTATTTTTATTCAAATTAATTTTAATATGAGCCGATTTTGGTCTTTCACACCTTTTTATTGGTCATTTTTTGTTTCGAAAAAAAAAAACAAGATTTAAATGTTTTCTCAATTTATAAACAATACTGTAGCAAAAAAATATTTTACTAACATCCAATTGTATGTTTTCTTGCACAGCTGGATGTTAAACTCATGAATAATAATAGTTTGCATTGTCCAAAACTGATTAATTGAAGTCACACTGATGTGATAGTTGACAGATGAATTGGTTTTTTCTTAAAGCTTTTAATGGGTTATTTTCATAATTTATGGTGGTGTAGCAGTCAAAACATGACAAATGAGCTCATTTATTGGACAAATTCTGGACCTTTGTTATTGAGGGGTGGATCTTTCAAACCCCCCAAAGCCCCCTGGCCACAGGCATTGTCCTTCATCAAGAACAACTCACTCACAAGTCTCGTTTAAACCAAAAGCAGCTTTCTGTGTGTCAATGCAGTTTTATAAATTCGCATGAAACTTATCAAAGACTCCAGGAGAAAGAACTGTATGCTCCCATGTAATTTTGCATTAATATCTATTCATTATCTGATTGCAATAATTATATATACCAATATAATACATATAGTCGTTTGTTCATGGATCAGATTTTTTTTACTCAAAAGTACCTATGAGAGTAGATTGCTGAACACATCAGAGCCATTTGTTTTGAGACTAGAGCAGAGAAGCACAAATAGGACCCATGGTAATCTTTAATTTGGCCCGCCATCCCATGTAAGAAATGATGGGGATGGTTTTGAGATTGTTTTATTGTTTAAAGTTTAATTAAATATTTAAATTAAATGGTGTAAATAAATCAGATTTTGTTTAAAATGTCACCAAATAATGCAGAGTTCTGCTTACCTACTGTGTTCAGCATTGAACTTCACTGTGTTAGAAATGTGATTGCTTCTATTTTTATTATAAAAAGTTCATACTGAATAAATTAAACTATTAATAAAACTATTAAATAAAACTATTGAATAAAACTATTAAATAAATTAGGAAATTACCCATGGCAACTTTAACTTAATACACTGATATATTACCCTTCGGCCCATGGCTCTGAATGATATTTGGTTTTTGTTCCTTCATACAAAAAAATGTAGACACCCCAAGACTAGAGTATGCTAGTTGTGCACTTGTGAAGCTGTGCATCGATGGATTTGCTCTTCAGTGTTTGGACTTTCAGCAGTGAAAATTAAACCACACTGAACTGAACTAAACTCAACTTAAAGTCTGAAAACTGGACTGACGCAGTTTCAGTTTACTAGAACTTCCATGTTAAGCTGCTTTGACACAATCTACATTGTAAAAGCTCTATAGAAATAAACAATAATTAAATTTAATTGAATAATATCCACACATTATCAGATTGCATTAGCTACATATGAAGAGTTCAGATGCAAAAACCTAAATGCCATCCGAAATTTTCTTCTAAAATTTGCATTCTTATAAGGCTCCTGTGTGCAGGTTCACTAATATCACTTTAATGGCAAATAATAAGTTCTTTTCATGGTCTTCAAAGTAAAATAACACAACATAAACCAAAGGGGCTGAGAAAAAGATTCATTTTCGATTCCAGATGGCACTTTAACTCTTCATATACAGTATTTCATAAAAGCCATTTGTTTATAGATCAGAGCATGCTAGTTTACTCACCCAAAAGTAGCTATGAGAGTAATTTGCTGAACACATCATAGCCATTTGTTTTGAGACGAGAGATTTGATGTTATTTTTCAATGTGGAAGTGCACTCGTTTTTGCGATTGTTTTAAAACTCGCCTATGAGAGAAATGACTCGGAATAATAAACCTCAGAAAACGGTCAAACTGCTTGCTCTACAAATAAGTGATTGCATGACTGTACAGACCAAGTAGAATAATATAATAAGAAAATATCAGTTTGCAACATCAAGCAGCATAACGAGCTGTTTTTAACGTCTAAAACTGAATATAAGTGAATGAGACAGGAAGTCTCAAGCCATAAAGATTCAAATGGCCGTGCCCGCTCATACAAGAAAAATAAGTGAATGCTAGTTGTGGGGAATGATAGCTCTTTACTATGGTTTTAATATCATTTGGACTACACAGCTTCCCCTTTAAGTCTTGATCCACTTAAAAAAAAAAAAAAAAAACATTTATAAGATTAATTTAATAAGGAGAATACTCCTAATAATTGCTGAACACTTTTGGGAATACACTAGTGTGCTACATTGATTTTTTTTAACAGAGCTGGTTCTGAATAACAACACGGCCTTTAGTTTCCCAGTTGTCTCAGTTACATAACCCTAACACTTTAGACTGCTATGTATTATTATTTATGACAAAGTTAAAAGGGGTTCACATGTATACAAAAATACTTAACAGATTTATTCCATTGATTTGCTATGTAAAATCGCAGAAAAGAAAAGACATGAAAGAAAATCTATACAAATCTGTATAATAGGGATATCACAATGTTTTAGTATGCGATATGTGTCTGTCTGGTATGTGTATTACTTTCTTTCTGAAATAAAAGGAATGTTAGTTTCAAGAAAGGCTTCTGTGCTAAGCAAAATAAATTATTCAATGAATTGATAAAGGGTCTGGCAGAGAAGGTTGCTATGGAAGCACTAGCCTGTGAAACAGCTAGTGCCCATTGGCTGAGTACAACAACTGTATAAGAGTATCCAGATTTTATAAAGAGCCTATTTAATATATTATTATCTTAATATATTCTTTAAACGGTTGGGAGTTTGAGACTGATCATGGTGACCTCAAATCTGAGGCAATTACACTTCATTTGTTAATTAGTTCACAATGAATGAATTAATATGTATATCTACTCACCTGTCCAGGGCAATGACGGCGAAACTGAGCACAGTGGCAGAGCAGAAAAGCCTGTGCAGGAACTTAATGGCTTTGCACAGGAGGAGTGTGTGAACCCACAGGCAGCATAGAGGACTGGCACTCAGCGCTATGTCAAACGGCACACACACAAGACCAGCACAAATGCCAGAACACGCCAGATTCTTGATGAAGAGATTTGTGACGGACTTGAAGACATTTGTGTAGATCGTGCACCACAGCACTGCAGTATTGCCTGGAGACAAAAGAGAAAAGGTTGAGGGTTCACAAGCCCAGGTCAGCCTCTAAGGACTCACAATTCATGTGTTTATGGTAAGACTTGAACAGCCTGCATCATGCTATCAGTTCCCATGGCAATGGGGTACCTGAAGGTTACAAGCCATGAAGCCAATTTTATAGGGGAAAATCACTGAAGACCCCTGTGATTCCTGCAGGCAATGGTATGTCATTTTCAAGCAGCTATGAAGGACAAACAAGCCTCGCAACACATGCTATAAAGATATGAGAAGATAAATATGCATGAATTAATGCTTAAATTAGCACACAGTGGCTAATTTAGATGCTTGTTTACTTGAGGCGGGACACTTTGTGGTGAGTATTATTTTAAAGGAATATTCTAGGTTCACTGAAGTTAAGCTCTATTATTAGGGCTAGTTTATCATCAAAGGAAAAACATATTTAAAAGGGCACCATAATGAAAATCATCTTTTGTAAGCGGTTTGGACAGGACTGTGTTTAGGTATAGTGTGTCCACTGACATATTGGGGTAATATAAAGACAATAAGTCTCTATTTTTAATTTCCTGACGTTAAAATAGGATCCAAATGCCTCCCATTTTGAGGCCCACTGCAATGTTACATAGAAGTGCGGTTTTCCCCGCCCACTGATTTGATTGACAGCCACAGATTAACATGTCTTCATAGTAACGTAGTAATAATTATTTCAACAAGACAGGACGTGCGCAGAGCAACTGGGATTAAAAGATCTGTTCAGCTCATCAATGATCATCAATCATCATCAAATGTGATCAAGAATGAGTTTACAAGTTTAAAACATTTTTAAAACAGTCCATGTTTGTAATGAATTACAGCGATTTTACCATCTTTATCACCACAACTGCATGTCAGTACAATTATAAAAGAAAACGCTTCAATCCCGGTTTGTGGATGTCAAATCATGGGTATTTTGTAAATCAACATACCAGATGTCCATACAGTAGTGTATATTAACGTGTTTCCTTTCACATTTGCGTGCAAAAACAGAGCAAAAGTTAAACGCGTGCGCTGGGTGCGTGTGTGCGTAAACTTTGTAACGACATTGTGTGACTCATCATTGCAACTCCACAACAAATACATCAAATAATCATTGTACAGTTTTTACTGTAGTATTTCTCACAAAAGCTACGTAAGATCTGCTTCCTTTATGTGTGTCATTGTGCTGTTTATCTGATGCAGCCGAGGAAGAGATTGAGGCACACTCTGACAGGCACATGGGAATGGTGGGCGGGGAGAACTAGCATTAAAGGCACAGGCCACAAAAACAGCTACATTGTGTTAGGAGCAGGAAATCCAAAATTCTGAAAGCTATAATAAATAATCTGATGGGTGTCTTGGGGTGAAACTTAACAGACACAGAAACAGACTCTTGTTTCGGCAGAACAAGAGACTTATCTTAAATCTTGAAAAAGGGGAAAAATAGATGCCTTTTCATTAATTGTAGGGAAAGTCCACCCTTCACTTGTTCCAAACCTAATTGACTTTCTTTCCTTTGATGAACACATAAGAAGATGTTTTGACTATGGAGGTCAATGGCTCTAAATATCTACTTTAGTCCTCAACAGAATAAAGAAACATGTCTAATCACTCGAGGTAAAAAAAAAAGTGTTTAACCACTCAAGGATGAGTAAATAGTGAACTCATTATCATTTCTGTGTAAACTAAATGAATTATGGTGCTTTATTTAGTTATAAACTTCACAGTTTATGCAGTAAAGCCTCTTGTTTACTTCCACTATACCTTTTCAAAGAAAACAAGGGACATATTAAAAGCCTAAATGCTATCTATTGCGCTTAAATTATGCTGAACCAAAACAGCTGATTGATAAGTATTTCCAAAGCAATTGCATGATTTGCTTTCTTTTTTCACACCATACATTTGCATGTAAAACAATCAGGGAGAGCATGCAGAAGTGTTTTTACTTGAGGCTAATTGAAAATGAAGCATGTCAATTCAAGTGGAAAGCTACGCAAGATTCATTTTCTTTCAAGAGGTGATGCACGGACATCATGGAATTCACATGCCTTGAATTGAAATGCAGCCTGAGGTGATTCTCTCCTTGGACGTTGATGTGAGCGGAGCACTTAGATGACAGGTGCTCTCTAGCCGGCTCGGTTATTACTCTTGACACACTTTCAGAAGGTGCATCTTTTCCACAAAGACCGTGACTTTCATCTTTTCCCATTACCATGCAGGTGTAACAGGCAAAGCACACAGGAACACGTCTGCAGCTGCCTCTGTGTTATTACCCTGGTGACATTTTGAGTGCACACTGACAGTGCTGGACAATTGTCCATTTGTTCCCAGAGGTCTCCAGTATGCCCGTGGCTAAACAGGGGTATTTAGACTTCACAAGGTTTTCATTAGTGGTTTCTCAACTCTTTCTAATACGTTTAAGAAGTATGAGAACGTATGTAGACTGAACATTTCTGAAAGAACTTATTTTGGTATTTTGTTTGATGAATGCTATATCACTGAAAGTATGAATATATAAATCTGCTACCAAATAAGCCTTTAAAAGGAAACTTCACACACAAAACATTTAATTACAAAACTGTATGAATAATCAGGTAAATTTTACTCTGTGGAACATAATGGGACATATTTTGAAACTGACGTCTCAATGCTTTTTGGTGTCTACTGAATTTCATTGTATGGACAAATACAGATCGATCACTCTTTAAAACAAATTGTGTGCGTGTACTGCAAAAAAAAGAAACTGCTTTTCCATGAAAATCCATGTAAAATCAAAATGTACAGTGCTTATTTTGCTAGTGCACATTGTCATTATTAGGTGAAAATTTATCTATGCAAGTTAATTGAAAAAAATTTTTTTTTGTGGTAATCTTTAATCAAGGTGTGACCATTTGCTTCCATGTTTAGGGTAGCGATCCTTCTCTGTTGACATCAGTTTGACGGCTGCAGCAAAAATATTTTTGACCACGTCCCTCTTATGTTTAGATTGCTATGGGAAAATGATAAACAAAAAACTAGTCCCGCCTCCCACTAAATATTCAATTTCAGTACATCAACATACTGAAATAAAAGTCTCAGCAACTTCTTACTGATTTTATCTTCTCTTCTTTAAAGTCTTTATTTAAGTATGATTCACTATTTAGGCATTTATCTAATTTGTCAACGCTTGTTCAACTGCTCGTTAATCAGACATGGTATCAATTCAATGCATTCTGGCATTTAGACATGGTCAAGACAATACAATAGAGAATATAGAATGAAGTGACAAGATTGTTGGGGCCAGACAGGCTGATATAAGTATTTCAGAAATTGACGACATATTCAGTGAGCGTCAGCTTTTGAGCTGTGGATAAAAATGCTTTGCTGCCAGAAGTCAAAAGAGAATGGCCAGACCGGTTCAACCTAATAGAACATCTACAGTCACTTAAACAACCACTCGTCTTAACTGATATCTGCAGGAGAGCATTTCTGAAAGCACAACATGTGAAACCTTGAAGCAGGTGAACTGCAACAGCAGAGGAGCACACCAGGTACCAAACATATCAGCTAACCACAGGAAAATGAAGCTAAAATTCACCTAGGATCACTAAACATGATGAAATAGAAGATGGGGAAAGGCTGGTCAGATCTGATGAGTCTCAATGTTTCTTTTGATATTGAAATTAGAATTTGAAATCATGAATCCATCCAGCCTTGTACCCATAGTTAATGGTGGTGATGCAATGGTGTGGGGGATATTCTCCACATAGCCAACTCTTAGTAGCAAATAAGCATTGCTTAAATGCCACTGATTACCTGATATATTACTGAGCATGACAATCACATGTACTCATCTTGTGATGGTAATTTTCAGCAGGATAACACACCCGTGTCACTGATTTGAGTCCAAATCATCTAAAACTAGTTTTTCAAAGTGACAGTGAGTTCATTAACTTTGGTACACTATAAAAAAGCCAACACAATCTCATGGCAATTCGTAACTTTTTGATTTAGTGGCTAATTCGTATGAATTCGTACGATCTAATTTGTACAATTTAGTACGATTTGCTCATCACCCAATGACGGTTGGGGTTAGGGGTGGGGTTGGGTGCCACGCCTCCTTTTTAAAATCATATGTTTTTGTACGACTGAACTTGTACGAATTAGCCACTAAACTGACAAAACGTAAAATACTTACGTTTCCTTGTGAGATCAAGCTGAAAAAAGCCCATGATTTTACCAGTAAAATCTTAAAAATACTAAAGGTTAAAATCCATAACCTGGTTAACAGCAAGTTTCCTTTTTTATATACAGTTATTAATTGTAAATTGACTTCAGAATTCCCTCCATGACACTTCTCTTTTTGTGTTTTTTTTCTCATTAGTGATGTACTTTACAGATTTATGTATCTAATGTTGACAAATAATGTGTACTGCATTACTTTAGTTTCATGTGGAACTGTGATAATGTTTCTATGCTTGTGGTAAAATGTTTGCGATAAGCTTTGGGTCATTATATGACATTTTCTTGTCTGTGTAACAAAGGTACAATGTGTCGATTTTAGTACTTATAAACTATGGTGTATTGACACTATAAAAAAAAGAAACACCAACTTACTGTAAAATGTACACATTTTTTTAAGATTTGTACCATATTTTTACCAGTAGTCACTAGATTTAAAACCACCAAAGCATTCTGGGATGTGATGGAATAGGAGATGCGCATCATGAATGTGCAGTTGACAAATTTCCGGCAACTCTAAAAAAATACATAACCAGTGAATCTAACTTTAAAATGTAGTAGAAATAAGTACATTTAGAGGAGTCTGAGGTAGGCTACACTAAATAAATCCTGGTTGCCTTAAATTTTTAAGCTGAATCAAATTAACCTTATGAGTCCAGTGAACTTATATTATGTTAAACTAATTTAAAACTGCAAAAAAGAAGTTAGAACATGATTAACCTTAGTTTAAAATGTTACAATAAGCTAAAAATATATGGTGTCATGACTAATTGTTCATATAATTTTTACAGTGTATCTTTATTTACTGGCTGGACGGAGTTACTGGGTGGATGTGGCTCCTTAGACATCTGTGTTGTTTAGAAGGAAATGCATATAAATATGCTATGCTATCATGTCAATACGGACCAAAATCTCTAATGAATGTTTCCAGCACCTTATTGAAACTCTACCACACAGAAAATGGGTTCAACCACACACTAGCTGTCCCTAATGCATGTAATTGTAACCCCTCAGGTTCTATTCCCTCAGTCTAAACGGCAATCAAATTGGCATTTCATACATGGGAGGCGGACATGCTAAGTGGCTGTTGTGCCTCTTGAGGCCAGGGGAGTGAGGTTTACTCACACAGCTCCTACATGCTGTCCTCTGTTAAATAATATTGAGCTTACATGTATGAGCAGCAAACTATTAGATTCAAAAACAACTGCAGTTTTTAATTAGAGTGCACATGAGCCAAGAAGTTTGCTACAGTAACTTAAAGCCAAGGAAGAAAAATTAGTGCAATCATGACTAATCCACTTCCACGATGACTTTCCATAACTAGTCATCAGAATGAATGATTTCCCAAAGTTCCTGAAACTAGAGCCCTAATCCAGGCAGAGACAGATCTTCAGATTATGAACATTTAAACTAAGGCTGATTAGTCATGTGAGTCTTACGAAATTAGCTTCTGACGTAGTTCAGACTCACACACCATGAACAAAAGAACTTTATACTACAATAATCATTGCTAAATCTTATTTATTCTGAGGAAAGCTAAACAATGGTGTTCTCTTTCTGCTAATCTTGCTTTATTACCATTGCTACAGGAGATGATTTAAATACACATATTTAAAGAAGTCAGCAAGCGTAAAAATTTAAATATTATTATTTACTAATCTGTTTCAAATCTGCTTTGACTTTCTTTACATTTTACAAACTTAATTTTGAAGAAAGCTGAAAACCTGTAACTATTTACTTCCACAGCAGGAAAAAAACAAATACTATGGAAGTCAATGGTTACAGGTTTTCATCTTACTTCAAAATGTCTTCTTTGTGTTCAACAAAAAAAAGAAACTCGTAGAGGTTTGGAACCACTCAAGATTGTTGTTACTCACTGCAAATAGTGAGTACAACTTAATTTTTGGGTGAACTATCCCTTTAACGAATTAAGTTCATTAATAGTGTTCTACAGCAGTGTTTGTCAACCATGTTACCGAAGAACCACCAGCTCTGCACATTTTTCATGTCTTTTTAACCAAACACACCATCATCAGCTCATTAGCAGAGACTGAAATACCTGTAATGGGTGTGACAGACAAAGGTGATATCAAACCCCAGATGGGTCAGATGGCATTTCTGTGTAGAGTCTGCATGTTCTCCCTGTGTTTACATGGGTTTTCTCCAGGTTCTCCGGTTTCCCTTACAGTCCAAAGACATGGGCTACAGATGAACTGAATAAGCTAAATTGGTCGTAGTAGTGTGTATGAGTGTTTCCCAGTACTGGGTTGCAGCTGGCAGGGCATCCGTTGTGTAAAACATATGCTGGATAAGTTGGTGGTTCATTCCGCTGTGGCGACCCCTGATGAATAAAAGGACTAAGCAGAAGGAAAATGAATGAACGCTGGTGGAAATTAAGGCCAGACACAGCAGGCAAAATATATTGTTTTTACATGCACCAGTCAGTAATGAGATTTTTGAATGTTTGGCTTCTCATAAACATTAGGGCTTTTTAGTCCAATGTAGAATATAAAATTTTAAAAATCACTTTATTAACACATGTCTGTAGATTACAATTAATACAAACATAAGATTTTTCTCAAAAAGAATGTTTTCCTCCTGCTTTAAGCCATCAATCTCCACTTCAGCTGCACTTGAGCAAGCAGATATTTCCATACCCATATTCTGAAGAGTTTTACAGAGATATGTTCATTGGCTATATGATTTGCACACTTAATGTACAAGGGAATTAATGCAATTCAATGTTCTGACAAAGTTGAAACCAGAAGTTTACATACACTGTATAAAAATGCACATAACCATTTTAAAAAAAGTCAGATGTTAATGTGACTAAACTTTTTCTCTTTTAGGATTTCAAGTTAGGATTATCAAATTTGTTTCTGTTCTTCTTAATAGCAAAATAATGAGAGAGATATTTGCTGTTTTGTTGCAGGAGGGACTGGTCCACTTCACAGCATAGATGGCATCATGAAGAAAGAACATTATGTAGAAATACCGAAGCAACATCTCAAGACATCAGCCAGGAAATTAAATCTTGCCAAATTTGTTCAATTGTGCTTTAAGGACAACAGAGTGAATATTTTGGAGTGGCCATCACAAAGCCCTGAAGAAAATTTGTGGGCAGAGTTGAAAAAGCTTGTGCGAGCAAGACAGCCAACAAATCTGACTAAGTTACACCAATTCTGTCAGGAGGAAAACAGTTTGAAACTCCTTCAAACTATTGTGAAAAGCTTGAGGAAGGATACCCAAAACATTTGACCAAAGTTATACAGTTTAAAAGCAAAAATAAAAAAACACCAAGGAAATTTGTGTAAACATTTGACTTTCTAGAAATTATTATAAAATTCTCAACAAAAAAAAATTCTCATTATTTTGCCATTTAGCAAATGTAAATTATTAAGGTAATCTTAACGGACCTAAAGTAATAGTAAACATTTAGTATGGTCTACCATCAGACATTTTTTTTTAAATGGTTATGTTCCTTTTTTTAGAGTGTATGTAAACTTTTGGTTTCAACTTTATATAGTAACAGTGAATATCATTTTCTTCTTTGATTAAGTTGAAAGACGTTAACTATTTAAGTCCATCATTTCTTTAAACAAATCATAAATGTGACCCAAAATAATGTTTAAACAAGACAACCTGCCTTTACAGAATTTCATTAATTCCAATACCAGGTTTACACTATATGAACTGTAAAAGGGAAAGACTTGCTTGACTAGCTACCTCTCATGGAATAAAATTTGTACTTTATATTAGTACAGGTGTATTCAGAAAACCTAACACTGGTAGGAATTAAGGCCAGACACTGCAGGTAAAATCATTGTTTTTATATGCTCCAGTCTGTAACAAACTGACAGTCTTTTTCAAACTAATGAAAATTATATTGAAAAAAATCACTTTATCAATTTGTGTCTGCTGATTTAAATTATAATACAAACATACACATTTTCTCAAAAAGAGTTTTTACCTCCTGCTTTAAGCCAGAAATCTCCACTTCAGCTGCACGTGACCAAACAGATATTTTATACCTATATTCTGAAGGGTTTTACAGAGATATTTTCATAGACTATATAATTTTCACACACTTAATTAATGTGACTCAATGCCCTAAACTATAGTCACAGTGATTATATTTTTCTTCTTTAATAAAAAGCTGAAAGAAGTTAGCTGTTTAAGTCCATAATTTTTTATAAAGACAAATTCTAAATGTGACCCTAAATAATGTCTAAACAAGATAACCTGACTTTACAGAATTTCCTTAATTCCAACATCAGGTTTAGGCTATGCGAACAGTAAAAGGGAAAGACTTCCATGACTAATCACACCACCTGTGTATTAGAGAGCGCTCAATAATAACAGCCTTTGTTTATCTTTTTTTCCTCTCAAATGATCTGAACACACATTGTAACATCTGCTACAGAGTGATTTCTCACAGAAAATATATAGCTTCTGATTGTGTTTGTTAAAGGGATAGGTCACACATAAATGATCCAAAATTATATCATTATTTACTCACCCTTACTTGTTTCAAACCTTTATGCAATTCTTTCTTCTGTTAAATACAAAAGAAGATATTTTGAAGAATGCTGGAAACCTGTAACCATTGACTTCCATGGTATATGTTTTGCGATGTGTACAGATCTTCTTAAATGAATAACTAGACATGAAGGTTTGGAAATACTTGAGTAAATAGTGGTTAAATTATCCTTTCTGGTTGAACTATCCCAAATAAACGTGCACATTCAAATATAATTTGTGCTCTAGCTGTAACCTTTAGATTATTCATAATCATCCATGCACATATGAACAGTGATTCATATAGATTAGTTCATTATAAGGTTATATATTAGGCCAAAAGACCCCCACTGATTTGCAGATGAACACCCAAAACATTTCCATTCTCGTGTCGTCTATACTCACCCAAAAGGGATCCGATGAGGATGAAAACTTGAATGGTGGTGGTGAAATCTTTGTAGGCTCTTTCCTGCGCGTGCACAATCTCCTCCAGCCGTGTCACCTCTTTATCCTGAGCGTCACCCCACAGACCCACAGGAGACGACGCGTTTAGGAAACCCAGCTTCGAGGAGTTTAGTATTGTTCCGTTTTCTGACTGAGAAAACCAGCTCTCCGCGTTATCCGCCTCCATCATCATTCATATCTGAGGCGCCACTATAATTCTCCGGCTCAGCTCTCTCCGCGCGCGCGTTACTGGTGCACAGAGCTCGTGCGTTGTGATGTTGTGTCCATCATGATTAACACTTGACTTTTCTCCAGTACAAACGCCAAACATTTAGGGGAAAACGCTGGACGGAGATGTGTCTTGATCATAGCTATGTCCAGAGATTTGAATAGTGCATTACGCTGTAAGCTTACTCCAAACAGCTGCCTCGATATTCTAAGGCATATTCTCGAAATAAAAAGGCATCATCTTGTATTCAGATCACTGGCGTTGATGGAGCGATAGGACAGTGAAGGCGACGTTCACGCGCAAGTCCCAACTTCATTTCAATAGCCGAGCAAATATAAAACTACTGTCAAATGCAAATATTTCGCGAGCACTGGGCCACTGTGTATGCAAACAGTGATGTCTAAACAAGGTGTGATGATAAACCATTGAGAATGTGATAAGAGAAATTAGCAACATACCCGTATGAGATCATTATGAATGAACATAGCCAGGATCCATCTGTCAGAAAACGAGATTTTGAACGCGTATTATGCTAAATATCTCGGTGTGTAACTAGCAACTGGGTTTTTAGCAAACAGGCTTCATTGCGAGTGACAATAGCGCTTTATTTCTTCAAATGAGAGGTGGGCGCTTACAATAAAACGTCACCATATCCGTCCGTTTTACGGCGTCTTCCGAGTGGCGCGTGAGGATTTGGACCGAGCCTCGGTTTGGGCTAGAAATTGATCCAGACTTACACGCGATTCGTTTGGGGCATTACAAGAAATCCTTTACAGCAAAAAACGCCATAGGCTGTTATTTGTAGGGGTTTCATCGTTGTAAAGTAAATAATTAATCCTAACGCCACACATTGATTAAACTATCATTTGCAGTGAAGAATGCGAATGAAAACCTTCAAGGCAGCTAAGCTTTACTCATTACGGACTAAATTTGTCTACGTGTTGCGTTTGTTTGCTTGTTTCTATAATAAGAAGGTTGGTGTTTCTTGTGGTCAGGGGAGATTTTAGAAAACCCATGTGGAATCTCTAAAGCCTGCTTGAAATGAGACTGGGGCTAGTTGTCATACAAGATGTTTGCCATGATGAGTGTTTCCCAGGAACTAGAAGGTAGGCTATTACGTCAAAAGTGTAATTATAAAAAATGTTGTTGTTTTTTTCCTTAATTTTATTAAATAATGTTGAATTATATTCAGTAAGAAAATACAATATGCTGCAGATCTTATAAATTTAGGATCTATTTTTTCATTCAAAACTAAAAACATTTATTTTATGAGCCAATATAGTAATTTTTAAAGGTCAGTTTTTGCCAGTTTTCTATGCCAGTTTGATTCAAATCTTATTTAATACATTTTGTTTTAATCATTTATTTATTCGGCTCAGTCCCTTATTTATCAGGGGTTGCCACTGTGAAATGAACCATCCTAATTTACCACACTCATTCACTCACATATACTCATACACTATAGTCAATTTAGTTTATTCAAATCACCTATAGCGCATATCTTTGGGCTGAAACCGAAGCATCCAGAGGAAAGTCAATACGAGGAGGACACGCAAACTCCACACAATAAACACCAACTGGTCCTGCCAGGAATCAAAAGAGGGACCTTCTTGCTGTGAGGTGACACTGTATCACCGTGTTGTGTTTTATTCCTTTCATATTGCAATATTATTCTGTCTATGCACTATAATGCAGCATCATCTATCCAGACAAATAATTTGATAATAAATTGTGGCACTGTCAGTATTTTTATGTAGGTATAAAATTAACATTTTTTAATAGTGTGAACGAGTTTTGAAGCCGAAAATGCAGGTCTGATCAAACAACGACGCAGCCAGCAACCAACCCTCTTCCGTTCATTATCATAATATTGATTTTCTTATTGATTTGCTCATACTGCCATCTGCATCAGGAATTCTGTGAACTTCTATCAAGGGAATACAGGCTGGAAAAATATTCTTTACATAAGCTGTTTAACACAATTGTAAGAAACTGTTTATTTTTTCTGCAAGACTCCAAAATATTTGGTGTGGTAGTGTATGCTGATAGTGTATGATCTCTGACTTGGAAATGTTAACATTGAAATAATTTTTAATTACCTTGTGAATTCCCATTTACATTCACAATCATCACTTGCACTGCTTTGCAGGTTAAAGTAACAGCTCTGCTCTAAATATAAGATGAACGGTTTTCAGTTAATCAACGTGCAAGTGCCTTAAGAGCTTGTACTTAAGGAGTCTGGGTTAAGCGACACAGCCTGCTGGAGTGTGTTCTTGTCAAAGTGATCTCTGAAAAATTTGCAGTGAGTACCACTGGAGCTTCATAGCCTCTTATTCATTTTCAAGCTGATCATCTGCTTTTTCTTACTGATGCATGTACAATGATGCCAAATATACTGCCTAAAATGAAACGTCACCTCAAAAATACAATTCTGTCATCATTTTCTTTCTTTTTTTATCAGTTTTTTTATTATAATTGTCAGGTTGTTCCAAACCTATATGCCTATTTCTCTGGAACACAGAAACATTTCTCTGAAGCCTGTTACACAAAACAAGTTGAGCAAAGTCTGGATTGCAGAGTAAGTTTTGGGTTGACAAATTCAAAGAAATGTAAAGATCAGGTTAGTGAATTAACACCGGAGTGCATGCACATGAAAGTGAGATGTGCAGCAAACAGCCAAGAGTCAGTGTGATTCAGTTTTTGTGATAAATCTAGAGCAATTGACTTCTCTGTTGAATATTAAGAAAAATTATCAGAAATACAATTTAATAAATATAATTTAACAGCTCAAAAGACAGCAATTTTTTAAACTTTATATATTAATTATATTAGCTGACAAATTGAGAGCATTTGAATATTCATTCCTTCATTTTCTTTTCAGTTTAGTCCCTTTTTTAATCTAGGGTCGCCACAGCGGAATGAACCACAAACTTATCCAGCATACGTTTTCCAAAGCGGTTGCCCTTCCAGCTGTAACCCATCACTGGGAAATACCAATGCACTGTCATTCTCACACAAACACAAGACAGACAATTTTAACCTTCTTGCTGTGAGGCGACAGCTATACCCACTGTGCCACAGCATTTATAATATAAAATATGAATACTGATTAATTTAATTTAAACAAATTATTATATATAAAAAACGGGAGTGGCTTTGTTGCATCATATAAATATGTCACTTTACTCACAGCTGATTAGTCCAGTTTGGTTTTGGGATGTCTAATCCAGAATAGCCATGTAGCATAAATTATATGAAACCTGATAAAAACCAGCCCACCTTCTTGAGTTCAAAAACTATGTTTACGAAAACTTACCGGTGTAAAAACCAAAACCGGCTTTGTGGAGAGGCAAAAGAATATTATTATTTTATTAGTTATTAAATTATTGATCCTTTAATGACATTAGATGTTTTCCTAATGATATTTGATTAATTATACTATAACTACAACTTTTGCAGTTTGGAAAAGACTGTTTTTATGCATGTTTGGACTATTTTTGTTTGGTTGATTTTTTGCATTTACACTCTTTTGTCCAGCAGGTGTCACGAGTGTGAAGTGTTTGAGCATTACAACGACCCAAGTTGAACACAGATGTAGTTTGTATAATTAGGCTATTCAAACTCTTAAATTATGCAGCAACACATCTTATAAACATCCAATATGACACATTTAGACGCTAAGTGACATGCAAAAAATGACGCTTGATTGACGGCCAGAGGTTGGACATGATGTCATTTCAATCCCCGTTATGGATGTTTTTCAACTGTGACACAACGTCGGAGGGACGCCTTTTCAACGGTCATCGGACGTTTAAATCTTTGTTGGATTTAACCAACCTGTGATTAGATCAAAATCACATGCAAATTTTAATGGTTCAAAGTCAACATAAATATAAAATACACATAAATATAAAATTGATCTTGTGACTTTGGAAATTTGATATGCGCTCCGAACCACTGATTCAAATCCAAAGATTCATATCGTTTCGATGCTTCAGGGAGCTCTTTGGAAAGCATCCATTACTTCAAAGCATATCGTGATCACAGAGACGACATGTATGCAACTCTAAAATGTGCTCTTAAGCCTTTTGCAAGAAATACTCTTGCAAAAATGCACTACAGTTCAGGAGTGAGCATCAGGCTTCTGCCCAGTTATAAGTGCTCTTTTGAAGACCCAGTGCATGTGACGGTGAGCGGCTTAAATCCACATCAACGCGTGGACCTGCGCTCCAAAATCACGGATGAAGGTGGACGTGATTTCAAGGCTTTAGCGACCTATCAGGCAGATGACAGTGGCCAAATTGACCTCAAGCGCGACTCTTCTCTTGGTGGGAGCTTTACCGGGGTTGAACCGATGGGTTTATACTGGGCTCTGAAAGCAGACACAATAAGCTGCAAGTTTAAACTTAAAGATGTGACGCGTCCAGCTCTTGTTGACATTGAAGTTGTCAGTGATGATAAAGTCCTGGCCAAAGTGACCAACGAGAGACACTGCCTGACCGATGGTGTCCGGAGAAGACCTTTAAATGAAGACAGGATCAGAGGAACTCTTTTTATGCCACCTGGTCAGTTATTTCAGTGTCTTTAAGAATAGTTTATAATTATTATCGCAGTATTATCGTCAACTTAGTGCACGTTCGTCTGCAAGACAGAGATCATTTTAACTATAAAACTGTTGTGCTGAAGGATCTGATAATTCCTTGTATAAAAGGCCTGTTTTATGGTCATTCTAAACTATAAACAAAATAAATTATGCTGGTTTGTTTTCAATGCAGGTCTTGCTGGTTTAGCTGGTCTCGGTGCTGGTTTTCCTGATCTTAAAACCAGCACTGAAGTCAGCAAAACCAGCATTAAAACATACCTTACCAGGCATATGCTGTTTTTTTCACCAGGGGCTGAGAGACATCAAAGAATTACAATATTTATTACTGTTTACCTATTATTTTTCTCTTTCTTTTTTTTAAACTTTCATATTTCTAAATGATAATATGGCCTATGCCATGCACGAGATGTTGCTCGAAAAACTATGTCTGTTTATAGTCTTTTTGTTCATCATAAGTTAATATCAAATTTTTTTGTTGCTTTATAACTAGCATTAATATAGCAACTGTAATATATGTCTGTCTCTCACTGTTGATTGATGTTAACTGATGTTAACTAATGTATTTCTATACAATAACAAAAAAGACTAGACCTTATTGTAAAATGTTATCAACTGAACTTTATAAACCTTTTGCAATTCATTTTTTAACATTTGTTTCCTCTAAATACCATATATATATATATATATATATATATATATATATGTGTGTGTGTGTGTGTGTGTGTGTGTGTGTGTGTGTGTGTGTGTGTGTGTGTGTGTGTGTATATATAGATCTCGAATCTGATTGGCTGATAGCCAGGGCCGGATTAACCAATGGGCCTTATGGGCACAGGCCCAGGGGCCTGTGCGCACTAGGGGCCCCTGCGAGCGGGGAGAAAAAAAGACAATTTCGGAGTGTCTTTTTAGGCTAATTACAAACAGCGCATCTAGTTGGAATCTAGTTGGAATAAGATATTCAGGGTTTACGCCCATCGATGCCTGATTGATAGAGACAAGATGAGTAAAGAGCTATTTAGTAATACAGCCTCAGTGGCGCACCTTGTAAGGCGTGCAACTTCATGTTTTGACGCTATTGAACATCAACTCGGTTCGAATCCACCATCAGCTGAACTCGTGCTACTTTTTTTTTCTCCCCGTTACATATCAGATTGGAAATATATTTATTTTTAACAGGAAGGAAACATTTTTTTAAATAATGCAAATGTGATATAAAGTCACAAGTGTCTCGTGGGTATTTAACATTTATGTTTAGCCTTATAGGTGCCTCCCTCTCTGCAAAAACTATATTGCTCAGACAACTGTATTTCCTCTGAGGTAAAAAATCGCGATCACATATTAATATTATTATTATATTTAAATTGCCTTTCTTTCTTTAACTAAACAGAAGGCTGTCATTGGTCAAGCGCGGAAACGTCAGTTTTGTAATAACCGGCACTAAACTGAGCAGACTGTATTTGTAACGTTATATCTGTCATAGATTAAAAATGAGTGGACAAGTGGATTTAGCAAACGCGAGAGAAAGAGGAGAGGAGGCATCTTTATTGAGGCATTTTCCATACACACTATCTTTAAACTGACCCATGATCAGGAGAATGAGGGTACAGAAGAAGACGTTATGGTAACTTTAAATGATGAGTGGCTAGCATTAACCAGGCGGAGGAGGCTAACGGCAGCGCAGCAAGGACTGGATTCATCGTGTGAGAGACAGACAGAAAATATACATAAATACACACATATATATATATATATATATATATATATATATATATATATATATATATATATATATATATATAGTTTTATTAGTATTTTTATTCAATGCTTTGAAAAATAAGTTAAATCTTTGTAAACTATAAATACACATGTACTATTTATCATTTATTTAATATGTGGCCAAAAAATTATAGATTCATTTTATTTAAAAATTATTAAATTCTTATTTTTTAAATTCAACTATAGGGGTGCGGCCAGGTAGGGGGCCTTACAAGACAATGTGCCCAGGGGCCCCTGAGGTCTTAATCTGGGCCTGCTGATAGCCATGATCTATTTAAGTATTATCAGCACCCATACAGCCTCTTTATTACTCCGTCCACATACAGCCAGCAACAAGCAGACAACACAGTTTGACACATATTACTGCTGTTACACAACAAAATATACTTTTAAGGCTTTTTTTAGTCGAGAATGTAGTTGTAATTGCAACTATGCAGTTTATTTGCAAGAATAGTGCCTATTTTAAAATATTTAAAATTTCTGAGAGACAGCTCGTTGGCGACAGTTAACTTTTTCTTTCCACAAGATGACGACAGAACCGCATAATAAGCCCTTACGCTTATAAGATATAACAGTCTGATTTCTAATTAGCAGATCAAATCAATATTAAACTAGTATGCACACCTGCCAACACTTCCGTTTTTCATGGGAGTTTCCCGTATCCCGTCTCCCGCAAACATCCCGTTGTTATTTCTTCTTAAAAAAACTCCCATAATTTTATCCACCCCCCTCTTTGGTACAGTCTGTAAACTAAACACCCCCATGTACCCGATCGAAACGGCCGGCCAAAACCCCCCACATCCAGTTCTCAACCTCATCCCGGAACAGATTGAAGAAAAGATTGTGTTGGCAAATTGAAATAAGCAAAGTCCGCACGTGTTTAGTGTTTTTCCTTATCGCAAACACAACAGCAGTTTGGTAATGTTAGTGTATTCGTTGTTGTTTTCGGGGTTAATTATTGTAAAATCCCGATTGCAACTGAGAAATACTGTAGACTGTAACACTGTAAGAAGATATCTCTGTTGATGGATGGCATTTTATGTCACGTTCAGCCTTATTATCCTAAAGTGTGAGCAAAATCAGCAGTTTTGTCATCACTTTAGACAGAGAATCATTCAAACACTAGCTCTAAAGTGACGTTGGTAAATTAGTAACGTCTTCTTCTGTTTTGACGTCAGCTGCAGATGTGAATGAATGGCGGAAGAAAGTAGTTCCTAAGAAAAAAAGGGTTTTTAGACTCTCCGTGTTTTTCTTATTTATATACAGGATTGTGCTCTTGAGCTGTTGTATATACGCAATATCACACTCGTAGAGTGCGATATGTCTGTATATCAGCACTGGTGGGACAGTGCTGGTATACAGCCATATCGCCCCGCTACTCGGGTGATATTGCTCATATATATATGTATATATATATACACACACACACCAACTCTGGACATTTGCTGAACATAAATGTGACACCAAAATCAAAGTCATAGCTATCCATCTATAGCAGGGGTGTCAAACTCAGTTCCTAGAAGGCCACAGCCCTGCAGAGTTTAGTTACAGCCCTGCTCCAACAACTTAGCTGTAGGTTACAAACAAGCCTGAACGCCTCAAGTAGTTTGATCAGGTGAGGGTTAAATCTAAACTGCAGATATACAAACAGAGACACACATTCATTGCCACAATTCAAACTTATATAATAAAAGAATTGGATCTGCATAAGAATTGGACACACACACAATACACAAGTATTTTATGTGAATATTGTGAGTTTATGGCACATCCTGATCAAAGTTTTGCAAATAAGTTGATGCCATCATGAGCCTGATGTTAGCTGAAAGTCTGTTACAGCAATTGTGAATGTGGACTACAGGAGGTCTATATGTTCTGCTAAAGACTGGATTCTGAGAGCAAGGCAAGGCAAGTTTATTTAGCACATTTCATACAAAGTGGCAATTCAAAGTTCTTTACATAAACAGGAATAAAATAATAAAAAAAAAAATCTGATAAAAACAGATAAAATGTGTTAAAACGGGTTATAAAAAAAAGAAAAAAAAAGAGAAAGACAATAGTGTGATCTGTCGGACGCAGCACAGTGCTCATTCAGTAAAGGCACAGCTAAACAGATGTGTTTTCAGTCTTGAATGTGCCGAATGTTAAAGCACATCTGATAATTTCTGGAAGCTGATTTCAGCAGCAAGGGGCGTAGTAGCTGAAAGCTGATTCACCCTGCTTTGACTGAACTCTTGGAATTTCTAGTTTATTTGATTTGAGTGATCTGATCGGCTTGTATTCAGTGAGCATATCTGTAATGTGTTGAGATCCTAGGCCATTTAGTGATTTATAGACCAGTAATAATACTTTAAAATCTATTCTCAATGAAACTGGGAGCCAGTGTAATGACCTGAGGACAGGTGTGATGTGCTCTGATTTCCCCGTTCTGGTCAGAATCCTGGCCATGGCGTTCTGGATGAGCTGTAACTGTCTGACTGTTTTTATAGGAAGGCCTGTGAGGAGCCCGTTACAGTAATCCACCCTGCTGCTGATAAAAGCATGAACACATTTCTCTAAGTCTTCCCTGGACACAAAGCATCTGGTTCTTGCAATGTTTTTAAGATGATAGTGTGCTGATTTACTAACTGCTTTGACTCAGATCTGACTCCAGAGTCACGCCAAGATTCCTGACCTTATTCGAGATCCTGTGAAGTGTCTAAGAAGAATTGGATCTTTGCAAGTTTGAATTTTGGCAATAAATGTGTGTCTCTGTTTGTTTATAGAACACTTAGGTTAAACTCAGTTCCTGGAGTGCCATAGCTCTGTACAGTTTAGGGTCATTCACACACACACACACACACACACACACACACACACTTATAAACTACGGCTAATTTATTTTATTCAATTCACCTGTACTGGATGTCTTTGGACAGTGGGGGAAACCAGAGGACCTGGAGGAAACCCTCGCAAACACTGGGAGAACATGCAAAATCCACACAGAAATGCCAACTGGTCCAGCCGGGACTCGAACCAGCGACTTTCTTATTGTGAGGTGACAGTGCTAACCACTAAGCCACTGTGCCACCACGTGTCCCAATTCCTACGAGAATATTTCCATCACTACCCATCCAAAGGCCAAGGGGAAGGCGAAAGGGATAGTGAAAGGGAAGAGGTATAAAATACATTTGGTATTGGGCCTAGATTTAGCTCTCCATAAACACCTGATCAAACTACTCAAGTTCTTCAGGCTTGTTTGTAACCTACAGCTAAGTGTGTTGGAGCAGATCTGTAAATAAACTCTGCAGGGCTGTGGCCCTCCCGGAACTGAGTTTGATACCCCTGCTATAGGGCATAGCTGTGACTGTAATGTACATTTAGGTCAATCTTTTCAGTCTGGCTGTCAGCCCAAATGTGCACAAACAATTAAAACATCTGAACATTAAAAAAGGCACGTATATAAGGAGATATAAAATGATGCATAACAGATTTAATCCACAATTCAAGTCATTTCAAAGGCTGGGTTAAATGTTGGGGTAGTAACATATATTCTTCTGAAATATTAAGCAGAATTGAACACACATAATGCAAGATAAATATGTACCCATTCATGACAATTTTACTTGGGCTCTGACAGAACATCCATCAACTCTGGACATTTAAACAGTGCAGAGCTGGGGCTCTCCAGGAGTTTTATTAGTTTGACCCCACTGTTCTATACACAGTTGAAGTCAGAATTATTAGCCCCCCTTTGAATTTTATTTTCTTTTTTAAACATTTACTAAATGTTATTTAACAGAGCAAGGAAATTTTCACAGTATGTCTGATAATATTTTTTCTTCTGGAGAAAGTCTTATTTGTTTTATTTTGGCTAGAATAAAAGCAGTTTTTAATTTTTTTAAAAACCATTTTAAGGTCAAAATTATACCCTCTTTAAGCTATATATTTTTCGATAGTCTACAGAACAAACCATTGATATACAATAGCTTGCCTAATTACCCTAACCTGCCTAGTTAACCTAGTTAAGCCTTTAAATGTCACTTTAAGCTGTATAGAAGTGTCTTGAAAAATATCTAGTCAAATATTATTTACTGTCATCATTGCAAAGATAAAATAAATTAGCTATTAAAAAAGAGTAAATCAAACTATTAGAAATGTGTTGAAAAAATATTTTCTCCGTTAAACAGAAGTTGGGGAAAAAACAGGGGGGGCTAATAATTCTGACTTCAACTGTACAAACAGAGACACAATTCAAACTTACGCAGATCCAATTCTTTTCGTCAGCTTTACTGGACACTTCACATGGTCTCGCTCTCAGAATCCAGTTTCTTAGCAGAACATATAGACTTCCTGGAGACCACATTGACAATTTCTGTAACAGACCAGCAGCTAACATCACCCTTATGATGGCATCCGCTTTTCTTGTTGCAATTTTTTACTAAATCTTTGATCAGCATATGGAGTAATATCCTAATATTCACATTTACATTTGTGCATTTAGGAGACGCTTTTCTCCAATGCAATGGGCTGCTCTCATAAGATATATATATAAAAAAACTTCATTAAATTTCAGAGTAAACAAATGTTTAAATATTTAACTGCAAACGGATTCTAAAGTATAGTTGGCTATATATGGTTATAGTGGTTATATATATATTACAGTTGCTGTATTAATGCTAGTTAGAAAATTACAAAATTGTATTAGTTATTAACTTATAATTACTTAATATATTCAAATGAAAATATATATGTGTGAAAATAAAAATTTAATTAAGTATTCCAGCATGTGGTTAAATGGTGTTTTTGAGCAAATCTTGGCATTATAGGCACTATATTCGCAAATACGAACTCAGAAATTCTGAAAAAAACTTTTTTAAACATTCAACAATTTTCTTACTTGCACTGGAGTTCAGGGAATTGGACGACATATGATCATCATGTACACTGGAGATATAATACACAGACAACCAAAACAAAAATGACAGAGGTACAGTAGTAATTAGAAATTATTTAAGGTACACAATAAAAATAAATGCAATGCCTCTTATTGTTCTGCCAGTCGGCCTGCAAAGAGTCTTGGATTCTCTGTCTGACAGATGACTGATTATTAGTTGACCCTGCAAGACAAGTTTGAACCTTAATGTAATTTTATGAAGTGTAATAAAAAAAAAAAATACAGGAGCAGATTAAAAATATGTTTTTTTATTGATTTATTGTTATTTTGGTTAGAATTGAATTGCTAAAAACACACATGAGCCAATAACTGGTAATATAGAAAGCACATAAACTACCACCACAAAAACTATAAGGATGACATAAACACAACAACCACACAAAAGGTGTAAATATGCATACCCTGAAAACATGAGTCATTCTTTTTGATTTGTTTGATGAGCCAATAGTAACCTTTTTTAAAACAGCTGTCATTTCTGAAGCCCACTGTTAATGACAGTCTGAGTGTATTAATTTAGGCTAGACTAGGTCATTAATACTGGTATGCTCCTAGATGCTGGATGACGTAGATACGACAATCTTATTGTCAGGATTTATAAAAGTTTTGTGTATTTTTATTATCATTTAAAGGTTTTATTTCCACACTACCCCACTCCAAACTCACCTGACAAGGTCATTTTCAGCTCTAACTGAACACACAGCAGGTGAATGATGGGCAGAGATGACTGGAAAACATGTTGCCCAGCTGTCACTGAGAACCAGTGTAGGGAACCCTGATGAATTGCACCATATACCCGGAAAACGTGAAATGTTCCTCAAGCTATACTTAATTTTAGCATAACAATTAATTTTAGCCAACCTAAAAACAACTCTACATTGCACAATGTACCTGACAATGTGCATTATCTATGTAAGTTCCTTCGTGTAAAACTTGATAATATTATACTAATTAATACTAATCTTTAGTCCTATCGTGACTTTAAATGGTGGTCCGGAGGTATCTGTTTTGCACAGTATATGCAAAAATATTATTATAAATATTAAAATTGCATTGTAATAAACAGAAAAGAGGTCAGATAATGACCAAAAACTGTGGCTTTACAATAACTTTTTTTCAGGGCACTATTTGAAAATATTGTGTCATTTGACAATAAAATGATCATGTACTGTATTTCATAACGATATCTCTGTATTTAATGGGTCTTTTTAACGGCTATTGGAAGTTCAAATGTTTGCTAGGATATGAGTGTTTGTGGCATTCCCTTGTTGTGCTGAAAATGGGGATGTGTAGTTTAAATTGACAAGCTATGCCTATCTAGACACAACCTAATGTTTTTTAAATATAGAGTTTATAATGCTGTTTTTATACTTTCTCAGGTAAAGGACCATTTCCTGGGATTTTGGATACATATATACTTAGAGGAGGTCATTTTGAGTTGAGAGCAGCTCTGCTGGCAAAGAGAGGTTTTGCTGTTTTAGCCTTGGCCTACCAAAATTACCAAGATTTACCCAAAAGTTCTGACAAATTTCACCTTGAGTACTTTGAAGAAGGTATAGATTTCCTACGGCAACAGCCAGAGGTTAGTACAACCATTTATTATCTTTAGTTGTTGTTTTTATAGCAAAATTAATTAAATTACTATAATGGGACATTTTTAAAAATCACAAAATTGATTTAATTATTTATTTATTTTAGGTGAAAGGTCAAAAAATTGGCCTATTGTCTATATCAAAGAGTGGAGATCTGGCTTTGTCCATGTCAACATTCCTGCCTGATATAGCAGCTACTGTTTGGATCAATGGATGCAATGCCAACAGTGTAGTCCCACTTTACTACAAAGATATGTATATTCCACCTCTGACACTTGACTTTAAGAAAAAAAAAATCACACCATTAGGCCTTGTGGATATGCTAGATGTTGTGAAAGACCCGATGTCCAAAGAAGGTCTTCCTAGTGTTATCCCCATTGAGCGTGCCCCTGGTAGATTCATGTTTATAGCATCAGAAGCCAACATGAATTGGCGAAGCGCCTATCATGCAAAATTAGCATGCGACAGACTCAAAGCTCATGGAAAAAAAAACTATGAGCTGGTAAAGTATGAAAAGGCGGGTCATTTTATTGAGGTGCCCTATATGCCCTTTTGCTTTGCTAATTTTCATAGTGTACTTAAGCAACCTGTTTTATTTGGTGGGGAACCTAAATGTCATTCAGAGGCACAGGTGGATGCCTGGCCGAGGATTATCAATTTCTTCAAAAAACACTTAGCAACTGCTGATTACAATCTCAGTCCTATGCTGGAAGAGAACATACATGAAATGTCACAGCAATGACATCCAATTATAAAAAGATTGCTTAATCTCATCAAATATAATGAGAAATAGTTTCTGCATATTTGAAAAATAGCATGAAAAAAATTGAAACTAAAATTATTTTAAAAAATGTTTGAAGTGTTATTTCACTGCTTCGCCACACTTTTGCATTATTAATTAGGTAGATTGTATGGGTGCCAAAGGTCCTGGATTTGGTTTCTCTGTCTTTTTTTATCTTTATTTTTGGCTTTCCTTATGAATGTTTCTAGCAAACTTTTTGAACTAGACGTGCAGTTAAAAGCATCAATAAGTAATTAATTACTGTATGCACTTTTATGTATCATCTCTGGGGTTTCCAATAAAGTAGGTTTAGATATCTTGAGATTATGTGTCTTCTGTGTCATTCTTTCTTGAATTGTTCTTAATCAATTACCAACCTTTTGGTTAATATAAAGCGATTTAGTCAAATTATTATTTACCCGCAGTTTTGGTCACACAGAGAAAGTCAACAGGGTTTTCCAACTTTCCACAGGACGTTTTCTGTGTGCCAAAGAAAAAATAATAATTAGTATTTGAAACTACATGAATGTAAATTATGAGTTGTAGTTTTGGTTAAAGTGTCCTTTTAAGTTTGTGCAATATAGTAGCCATGAATTCAATACCATCAATATATGAAAGCGATTCATCAGCATGGAAATAAAAAAAAGTTTCTGTGTAAAACTCCAGCGGTACTAACCCATAAAGAAGACTTTAAGGAGTTCTTTCACGTTGATTAATGGAAAATGGTTGCTCTCATACAGTCATGGAGGAGCTTGTTACTACAAAAAAAAAAGATATCAGAAGGAGGTATAAGAGATCATGTGTCAAAAATATGATTTTTGATATTGATGTATGGCCCTGACATTTGTCAGCTGTGACCTTTGAGCCCCCTGTATGTCCAAATGCAGTGACTGGCCATCCGGACATGAAGAAAGAGTTCACCCTTTTTAAGGGTTATCATGTTATGCCAGCTAATGAGGGTTGGTTTTAGGGGGCTGTCATTCCTGGTGTCGCATCTTTCATGATTAGGGGGCTAAATAAATAAATTAAATTATTAGAACATAAAAAGGAATTCAAGCTAGGGCCTAATATACAGCATGTCAATCAGACAATGTTTGATCTTGCTGTCATTCATTCATTTTCTTTTTAGCTTAGTCCCTTTATTAATCTGGGGTCGCCACAGCAGGATGAACTGCCAACTTATCCAGCACGTTTTTACACAGCAGGTGCCCTTCCAGCCACAACCCATCTCTGGGAAACATAAACTCATTCACACTCATACACTACGGACAATTTAGCCTACTCATTTCACCTGTATCACATGTCTTTGGACTGTGGGGGAAACCAGAGCAACCAAAGAAAACCCACGCGAATGCAGCAAGAACATGCAAACTCCAACATCCAGCCAAGGCTCGAACCAGCGACCTTTTTGCTGTGAGTAAACAGCCCTACCTACTGCGCCACTGCTTCGCCTATCTTGCTGTCAATTGCAGAAAAAAAATATTGATAAAAGTAAAAAACAATATAAAGAAAAAACTGCTATGTTCAGAGTAAATGAGAAATCTTTAGCATGAATAATAATTTTGACAATTACTGTTGAATTACTGTCAGAATTATTAGCCCCCCTTTAATTTTTTTCTCTTTTTTTTAATTATTTCCCAAATGATGTTTAACAGAGCAAGGAAATTTTCACAGTATGCCTGATAACATTTTTTCTTCTGGAGAAAGTCTTATCAAGGTCAAAATTATTAGCCCCTTTAAGCAGTTTTTTTTTCGATACTCTACAGAACAAACCATCGTTATACAATAACTTGCCTAATTACCCTAACCTGCCTGCCTAGTTAACCTAATTAACCTAGTTATGCCTTTAAAAGTCACTTTAAGCTGTATAGAAGTGTCTTGAATAATATCTAGTCAAATATTATGTACTGTCATCATGGCAAAGATAAAATAAATCAGTTATTAGAAATAAGTTATTAAAACTATTATGTTTAGAAATGTGTTGAAAACAATCTTCCCTCTGTTCAACAAAAACTGCATGGGGAGAAAATAAACAGGGGGCTAATAATTTTGACATCAACTATATATAAAATGAAAAAATATATATGTTTTTAGAATTATCTGTTTATCTTAGACCCGACTCAAAGCCAAAAATTAATTTAGTCTTACCTCCTTGACTCTTTATTCCTACTTTCTGCTTCATAGCTTAGTCAAAATAAGACCATCATCATTCATTCAATCATTTTCTTGTCAGCTTAGTCCCTTTATTAATCCATGGTCGCCACAGCGGAATGAACTGCCAACTTATCCAGCAAGTTTTTTACACAGCGGATGCCCTTCCAGCCACAACCCATCTCTGGGAAACATCCACACACACATTCACACACACACTCATACACTACGGACAATTTAGCCTACTCAATTTACCTGTACCACATGTCTTTGGACTGTGGGGGAAACCGGAACACCCGGAGGAAACCCACGCAAAGGCAGGGAGAACATGCAAACTCCACACAGAAATGCCATTTGAGCCACATAGCATAAAATGCTGTTACTCTGGTTTCACAGTGCATGAGCGGCGCAACCGGGATTCACACCGGGATCAGGACCGGGAATGGTTCTTTGTGCACAACTGCGCATGTGTCAGTTTGCGTTCACCAGTGTTGTTTCTGTTGCACCTAGAGAAAAACAAACTTGCGTTTACAAAAGACGTGAAGTGTAAATGGCCTAACGTCTTTATCATTGGATTACTACTCTTGGGATTAATACACTTGCATAAAGTAATCGTATCTCAAAGCTTACTGGGGCCCATGATTTTTTACCTGTGCACTTTTTTTTTCTCTTTCTTTTGCACCGGCTCCCCGTGCCGCCCCCAGCAAGATGCCACCCAGGGCGATCGCCCATTTTGCCCATGCCTAAATCCGCCACTGCTTGGTCTTTATCCAAACGCATCACAGGCAACACTCCGAACCTGCTCAGACTCACAGAACTACACACGTTTCATGCACACACACAATCTAACACACACAATCTAGGCAAACGGGCAAACCACATATACATATACCTACTAATGAAGCATTATCGCCACCTACTGTAATTCACAAATATGGCGATCGAAAACGCCCGTGCTATACGATTGCCATTCATTAGACTGAACAGTTTAAGGTTCCCCATTTCAATTGTTTCATCATTATTATATCGTAATGATCATTTTAACATCTGTGCAGTTTCTGAACTCAAATTATGTAAAGAAAAATAATTGGTTAAACACTTATGACTTTATTCATGTGTCCACATATACAAAGAAAACATGAAATTAATTACTATAATCATTTAAAATTAATATAATTATAAACTGATCATCTTAACTGATTATCTTATTATAAACTACTATCTTTTACTAAACTGTAGCAACTGTTAGTAATATATATACATATCCATATATATCTTTTTTATATAACATTCAATTTGTTTGTATTGCTAAATTTGTTGCAACTATAATTACCACAAATTACTAGTACTTTATGGTTAAAAAAAACAATATATTATTTACTATAAATTACTACAGTATTTAATGCGGGAACTCATTAATTAAAAAGTTATTAGAAAATAAATAATGTTAAATCGCTTGAGTAAAATTTTGTGTTATACATTTATTACATGTAAAAATATTTGCATTACATATAAAGATGTATTATTGCCTATATTAACTTGATATTATTTCTTTTATTATAAATTAATCCATTATAAAATTAAACCTGTGTGTACAATATTTATTAATTATATATAAAAATATTTTGATGACGATGTCCGAGAAGACGTTAATAACATCAACATCCGTTGTAACCATATGGTTTGCTTAGATTGTGTGTGCTGGATTGTTTCTGCCTGAAACGTGTGGTTCTGCGGGCCTGCAGCTGGTTTGGCTCCAAACGTAATCATGGCAAAACACCGCACCTGTTCAAACACTCCAGAGGAACACCAGATTACGGAACAAACACCTCCATCTAGTTGACACTGGTCAATAGTAACAAGAGCTTAGAATGACCAATTCTAAGCTCTTTGATAGTAATACGACCGTAACAATATATATATATATATATATATATACTTTTTTTCAAAATACTCAAGGTGATGGTCAGCTCTTAGGTAACGAAATTTTGCAAAAAAATGTAACAAAATCTTGCTAATTTTGGTACACCAAGGCTAAAACAGTAAAGCCTCTCAGGTCTGTCTAGATTGGCATATTTGATCTAAATGGTTGCTTTTTTCTGTTCTGTTACAAAATAACACTTGCATTGTGTCTTAATTTTTCATAATTTTTTTTTATTTAAAGCATTGTGCATCTAAAGATTTGTAACAATTAAAAACAATAAAGAATTAAGCAAATGAAGGGTAAAATGTTTATTAATAATCAATATAGCTTAATGTTGCCAGGCTTCAAAATGGAGTTGCTCCTGAGTTGTGGAAATAAATATAGGCTAAATAACTTAAGTCAACAAAAGAGAAAAAATTGTTGTTGTATGGTAATTGGACACATTTGGGGTTGGATGTGGAGGTTATAATTAATTTCGACTATATTTAGGTATACCCAGATTTTAGGGCACCTTTAAGAAATACCATTGTTGTACGACACCTTATTTTAGTATAATCATTGTCCATTTTTTATTTAATGCATTGTGCACCTAGACAATTAATTATTTTATTCGGCATGAGTGGTCGAGATAGTGATAATTAACCAGAACTGCTCAAGGTATGTCTGTAAGTCTGTAATTATCATCACCATTCGGGCAAACGATGACAAATATCATATTTCTGTAGATTTTGTCCTGTTTGCCCTTTTGAATGGTTTCAGTATCAGTGTAAACGACAAATCCACGTTTTTCCACAAGGCGGCGGTGCTGCAAAAAGACACCTTAGAAAACCTGATGCTACCCGGTAAACAGTTGTCAGCAGGAGCATGTTTCGGCACCCAGAGCTTTTAGACTTCCTGTCGAACAATGACATACATCACTGTCTCTATTCACACGGGTTTTCACAGTGCAAGGAAATGTGTAAAATGACAATTATCCATTTACATCTCACAGAGAAAATGCACCCATTATTAAATCTAATGCAAAAGGCCAGTCGCGAAACCTATGGAGATTACTGTACGAGGTCTGTTCATAAATACGTAAATAAATACATATTTAACATTAGAACTATTATAACAGTCATAATTAGTAAATTAGTGTGGCTAAACCTACACAAAAGCCTGTAAATGCTAAAAGAAAATATCACAAAATAAGTGAGCACGTGCAAGATTCTCAACAAGAACTCAAAAGTTTATGGAGATTGGACAACAGGTGGCGTCTAAAAATGAAATTAACAATTTAAAAACACATATTTCTTTAGAACAATTGATTTCCTTCGTAATAACCACTTGTCAGATCAGGTTTCCAGGCCAACAAAACTTCAGGTTTAGTTCTAATTTATAAAATATAAATCAGACATGAATAGGCAACATCACTGGAAATAGACAAAAAAAAGTTAGTAATTAAATACTTAAAGAAGTTAAAAAGATCATACACAATCTCAAGATATTTGGTCATTTTTATTAAAATCTTCAGATTATTTATAAAAGTGTAATGTGCATACAGTAACCACTTGTACATCAAAGATTCTGTACCTAGATGGATTGTTTGTATAAACAAATATTTACCATGCAAGTACAACATTTCCCATCCAATAAGGCTGAAGCTCTTTGAATTTAAGGCACCAGAGGCTGTGCAATTAAACAGATCTGGTGTTGAGGTACTGACAGACTGAATACGAGAACAAATGCAGATAAACATCACTAGTACTTGCCCTATTCGTAGCTGGATTTGCTGGCTAGACAGTTAAATTTCAGTTTATTAAAGTGCACCAATCTTGGGTTTTAGGTAACATGAATGCAGCTCAACTTTAACAAATCTTTGTTGCCACGGTATTATGCAGCGGCTGAGCTGAGCTACTCTTATGGTACCTGAAACCCAGAATTGATAAAAACTAAACAGAAACATAACTGTCTAGCCAGCTAATCTGGTTTGATGGTACAGGCCCCAGATCCCCTTCAATGTCAAATCATCTCAACGATGTTGAAATCAGTATTACATTATAATACATAAAAGCAGTATCCAGAGAAGAGTAAAAATTTAAAAACATACACTTTTTTCTTCTTAGCAATGATGGTGAATGTTAAGATCAAATGAAATAACAGAATATATCCCAAATCTTTTTTAAATGTTAAATAAGAAAAAATCTAAATTAGAAAACCTAATTTTTTCACAAGTTTCAAGGTCACCAATTAGTGCCATTCAAAGTTATTCTAAGAGGAGAAAAAGAGTAGTTTATTTATTAGTTACATATAAACTTCTGAACAAAATATTAAGACCTGTTGCTTGAGTTTCAATTCTATTTTCTATACATTGCCAGCTATCTTTTGTCACTTATACAGGCTTTCTCTTTTGATAAGGATTTCTCTTTTTGATATTTTAAAACAGTACATACAAACTGGTTATCATCCAATATCTAAAAATGCAAATACTTCATTATTCTTCTGGTCTTAAGATTTTAATTGGGACTGTATAATTTAAGCACAGGATATGAAAATTAAATAAACATTTCAAAAATAGCACCGATCAAAATTAAAAAAGCATTTTTGGATACCTCCTAATGATTGGTGCTAATTTGCACCTGGTGTTATTCCTTAATTATCTGACATACCATTCGCGTCCGTATGAATGGAAGTCTATGGGGAGAAAAGCCCAGTGCGACCGCAGCTTAAAGTGGTGAACCATTCTAAACAAACTGAAACTCTCTTACAGCAGGTAGTTCATCCAAATACATTTATGTTCATCCAGATATGTCATTTCTAGAATGTTACTTCTTTACAAACCATTCAAGTCCCCAAAAGAACCTGGTTGTCTACAAAAGACAAATCCAAAAAGACAAGATAACACTAGAATGGGCATTTAGAAATGGGCATTTAGTTCAACAGCTAGAATTGCACATGAATAGGCTAAGAATAAATCTCTGCATTTGAGACAATTTGGCCTGGAAGCCTCACTCTTTAGTGACCAACACTCTCATTAGCAGAAAGAATCAAAAGGCTTGAATAACCTTTGCTGAGGAACATGTGTTGAAAGAGAAATGGTCCACCAATTTTCATACAGAATACTGAGTTCCATAAAGCTGAAATCACTTGAATAATGATATGGCCAGCCCAGAATCCTGACCTACACATGATTGAAAATCTCTGGAAAATCCTTGGCAACTAAATTATGGCTTAAAAAAGGAATGAGAGACCAGTGATGTCCTTTGAGTGCAGATATTCTCAAGTCATTCAAAGCAATGGCCTGTACACTTTCTATTCAATGTCTTCTGTGACCTTTACAAATGTTAGTTGAAATCTTCCTGTGCTACGATAATTGCTCATCTTTATAAAAAGTTTTTCCTCAAAATCAGTGTGGGAAATCTTAATTGCCTTGGTTTTATTTGATAAAGCACTGCTGTTCTATCACAGTATATAATAATTACAATTAAAATTCCCTTAAAAACTTTGAACTATAGAGATTAATTAATTGAAAGACAAGCATCAAGTGTTTATAAATTGAACTTCAATGTGTTTCACAATATAAAGGTTTAATCTAAGATGTGTTTAATTCCAACTCTGCGTCAACACATTCACCTGTAGGTATTAAATAAGCCTGAAAGAGTCTATTAATTTGATCAGGTGTGTTTGACTAAAGCTATACTTTGCAGAGCTGCAGCCCTCTAGGAACTGAGTTTGACACCAGTGATTTAATCACCCAAATGCAGGCGTGGTTTTAAATAATGTATGAATATTCATACAAGTTTGATTTAACTAACAAGTTCTGCATACATTGTATGAATTGTACATAAACAGCACTAGATTTAAAAGCAAATAATCAGTAGTCAGATTATTTTATGTTTAATACTTGAAAATTACACGATAAATGCAAGTACAAGTAGTCAGCATGATAAAGGGATGCTATGACTAGATTTACCTTGTCCTACAGCATAGATCTGGGGTTGTGATCGGTAGCTGCTAAATGTTTTTTGAAAAAATTGATCATCTTTGGCCAGGCATCTAACTGTGCCTCTGCATGAGCTTTAGGCTCCCCGCCAAAGAAAACTGGCTGACCAGCAACACCGTGAAAGTTAGCAAGACAAAAGGGCATATAGGGCACCTCAATAAAATGACCCGCTTTTTCATACTTTACCAGCTGATAGTTATTTTTTCCATGAGCTTTGAGCCTGTCGCATGCTAATTTAGCATAATAGGCACTTCTCCAATTCCTGTCAGCTTCAGACACAACAAACATGAAGCTACCAGGGGCACGCTCAATGGGAATAACACTTGGAAGGCCTTCTTTGGACATTGGATCATCCATAACCTCTCCAATATCCACAAGGCCTAATGGTGTGATTTTTGTTCTCTTAACATCAAACAGAAGTGGTGGAACACAAATATCCTTGTAGTAGACTGGAACTAAAGTATTAGCATTGCATCCGTTGACCCAAATAGTAGCCGCTATATCAGGGAGGAATGTTGCCATCGACAAAGCCAAATCTCCACTCTTTGATATGGACACCAAGCCAATTTTTTGACCTTTCACCTTTGAAAAAAAAATACATGACATGTAAATCACTTGACTGTATTTAAATTAGTCAGGACAGACTATGAATAGTTATCCATACTAACCTCTGGTTGTTGCCGTAGGAAATCTATACCTTCTTCAAAATACTCAAGGTGAAATCGGTCAGCTCTTTTGGGTAAATCTTGGTAACCTTGAAAAGCCAAGGCTAAAACAGCGAAGCCTCTCTTTGCCAGCAGAGCTGCCCTCAACTCAAAAGGAGCTCCTCTAAACACATTTGTGTCCAAAATCCCTGGAAATGGTCCTTTACCTGGAGATTTAAATTATCAACATTAATAACGTCATTTGACAAGCGCTGCAAACATAATGGCAAGCATGGTTTTTCAATAGTGTCAAGTATAAGTGAGTATATGGAGTAGTAGGCTTATTATGACATCAAATTTTCTTGTTGCAATTTAATTGCTGAAACTTATTAAAGTGTATTATAATGAGATTGACCTAAGCTGCAAAAAAAAGGTCCTTTTAAAAGATGTAATAACCAAAAATACTGCTTTAACCTAATTAAATCACAAAAGGATGATCAACTACAACAGGTAACAAGTTAAAAAAAAGTCTCATTAGAAAACGTTACTTACTGAATAAAAATCAACAGTGAGAAAAAGCCAGAGTTATTATAGTTACCAACACAAAAATAATGTTACTGAATATTTTTAGTTATTACAGGACTTGAAATTGAGACCATTTGCACCCAAAATTTTATCTATGCAACCTCAAAATACATTTGAGAGCATTTGTGCGAGTGACTGCAAAATGATCATGCATGATTTAAGACAGATTTACGCAGAATGCATCTTTGCATCTGAAGCTCGAAACGCATCGCTCAGAATAAGTTTATAAAAACAGTTGTCATGCCAACTTGCTGCGCTATAACTGAACACAAATTGATTGGTTAATATCAGCTGTCAATCACTCAGTCAATGCCTTCTGCCTTCAGCTGACAGGGAGCTACAACTGCAAAAATGTAAAGTGCTGGAGATGAGAGACTGAAAACTACACTGACAAATTTTGTTTTAGAAACCACCTAAAGTTACAAAAAATGGCACATACGATTAGTGATTGTGTGCTAAATGTTAATCCACCATCTACACTTTTCCAAGACTGGATAAATGACTTCCATTGGGTTAAAGTCCGCTGTGAACAAGACCAATGCATTCACTGTAAAGCTTGTGGGAAGGAGTTTGCAGGTAAGAGCATTTGCCACAATTAAACAACTTAAGCGTGAGAGGTCCTGACTCCTATTTAATCTTTCATTTAATAATTCAGTCCTTCATCAATCAAATGCAATGAATCTGTTAATATAAAACTTGTAATAGCTGCTCATAAATGGTGGCTGTGACAAAATTTTGGCTGGTGTGACTAAATTTGTTAAGTTAGGAGAACCAGTGCTATCAAGCAAAAATGTTATTTTCGAGCCCTGTATCGCTAATTTAAAAAAAGAATAAAGGCTTCATTACTACTTGACAATTAGACAACTGTGATTTTTAATATGTCATTAGGCATTTAAGATTAAAAAAAAGCTTTTGTTTTTATTTTGATTTTACTTAAATTAACTCGTGTTAACTTTTAATGGAGCCTTATTGCTTATATACAAATAGTCAGAGAATTTTCAATCAGCATTTCAGCATGTGGTGGGCCAGATTAAATATTAATGATTGAATTATGATAACCATTAAGGTTTGCAAGCATTTATTTCTGAACATTACAAATACAGTCTGAATATTATTTAATAACACTTTTCTACCCTACTTTATAACCTTTGACAGTCTAAAGGACTATAAATTTTGTAGTTGTAGACATTTTCAGCAACAATAATCAACCTTCAGCGCCTCCAATATGGCGGCCAATTGATGATGCGTCGTGAAAACAGAAAACTATATGGCAAATTTAGTTCTACAGGTACATTTAAATGACCTTCTAAATACTCTGAACACACACGCTATTTCCATATAATAATAATAGCAGCTCAAATACTTTTAAGTTTATTTAGCATGATATATTTTGAAGAAGTTTGCAGAACCGCGTCAAGTCAAACACTAAACACAAGTAAAATAACTGACCAGGGGGCATAAAAAGAGTTCCTCTAATTCTTCCTTCGGTAACAGGACTTCTTCGGACACCATCGGTTAGGCAGTGTCTCTCGTTGGTCACTTTGGCCAGGACTTTATCATCACTGACAACTTCAATGTCAACAAGAGCTGGACGCGTCACATCTGACAGTGTAAACTTGCAGCTTATTGTGTCTGCTTTCAGAGCCCAGTATAAACCCATCGGTTCAACCCCAGTAAAGCTCCCACCAAGAGAAGAGTCGCGTTTGAGGTCAATTTGGCCACTGTCATCTGCCTGGTAGGTCGCTGAAGCCTTGAAATCAAGTCCATTTTCATCCGTGATTTTGGAGCGCAGATCCACGCGTTGATGTGGATTTAAGCCGCTCACCGTCACATGCACTGGGTCTTCAAAAGAGCACTTATAACTGGGCAGAAGCCTGATGCTGACTCCTGAACTGTAGTGCATTTTTGCAAGAGTATTTCTTGCGAGAGGAGAAAATGCATGCTTTAGCACCGCAAACATGTCGTCCGTATGACCGCTGCAGGAGTGAAGTGATACTGCCGTCTAGTGTTTGGAGTACTTGAGTAGGCTAAACTCACCCTGCTATAAAAAGATAATAAACAGATAAAAACAAATCTGGCTCACAAATCATTCACAAGTCCAGTGATCCAATAATGACCAGTACTTCACATAAATTAAAACTCTTTAAAACGTTGTATTCCAGTTTATATTTAATATTTGCTCATTCATTTATTTTTTTTCCCTTCAGCTTAGTCCCTTTATTCACTAGGGGTCGCCACAGCGGCATGAACCCCCAACTTATCCAGCATATGTTTTACACAGTGGATGTCCTTTCAGCTGCAACCCAGTACTAGGAAACATCCATACACTCTCACAAACACACTATACGGCCAACTTCAATTTACCTAATGCATGTCTTTGGACTGTGGGGGAAACAGGAGCACCCGGAGGAAGCTCACATGAACACGGGGGAACATGCAAACTCCACATAGAAATGCCAACTGGCCGAGCTGCCATTCAAACCAGCAACCTTCTTGCTGTGAGGCGGTAGTGCTAGTCACTAAGCCACTGTCGCCTCTAAAATGAAAATATATAAACTAAATTAAAGAAAATGGAAAGTGAGGTAAACACTTGACAGATCAGGATTTACTGGAATTATTATTAGCTATGGGTTTCAGTAAAATGTTAGGCTATTATTTGTTTTATTGTATAAGTTCTGATAACATTTCTTCCCAATTAAATAGTAATTAAAAAAATGTTGTTCCTGAAAATGTCAATAGGTCAAAATAGTACATTTTAAAAGTTGTTGTTTCTCAGTACTGGGTTGTGGCTGAAAGGGCATCCGTTGAGTGAAACACATCCTGGAATAGGCTGTGGCGACCCCTGATGAATAAAGGGACTAAGCTGAAGGTAAATTAATAATTAAATGAAAATGTGTTGTAATTGGAAATCAGTCATTCATTCATTCATGTTCCTTCAGCTTAGTGCTTATTTATCAGGGGTCACCACAGCGGAATGAACCGCCAAATAGAGAGACTTTTCACAGCTGTTTGTTTGAGTAAAACATTAATTCTGCAGACTACTGATAACATTACATTCTAAATGTAAAAGAAAAAAATGTTTTGAAGTCTTTGTTTCTATAATTTTTGAAGACCAAATGATTCATTCATTCTCTTGTCGGCATAGTCCCTTTATTAATCTGGGGTCGCCACAGCTATGGACAATTTAGCCAACCCAATTCACCTGTACCGCATGTCTTTGGACTGTGGGGGAAACCGGAGCACCCGGAGGAAACCCATGAAAAGGCAGGGAGAACATGCAAACTCCACACAGAAACGCCAACTGAGCCGAGGTTTGAACCAGCGACCTTCCTGTGTGAGGCAGCAGCCCTACCTACTGCGCCACTGCCTCGACAAGACCAAATGATAAACTAACAAATTAATCTTTCACCCAAGGTCTGTGGGGATCATAGTCCATTGTTCATTTATTATGAGGAAGTTAAACATGACATTTTACATGCTGTTAAGGATTCTCGTTTACATCTACATGAAATGAAGTATTTTTGTGTACATGCTAGTCAGTGCTTGCCTTTCATGCGATGGCTTATGGTAGTGGATAAAAGAATCTCATTACTGTTTTACAAATATGATTTTTGGGACATTCTATCAGAAACTTACATGATCTGTCCTTGAAATAAAAACATAAATACACTTAAAAAATGTATGTTATCTCCCAAAAAAATCTAAAACTGACTGAAATCTGTGAATTTTTCTGTAAAGGTTATCATTTAGTTCTCAGATTTTTCTCATTATTAAAACACTTTTCATATATACAAACCCTGTCATTGTCTTTGTCCTCAGCCCAATTGAACCTACAGTCGTTTAGGAAAAAACTTCAGCAACAGCAAGTTGTTATTATGCACATCAATTGATTAAAAACATGAAATTCTGAATAAATTTTACAAATAAATACTATTTTACAATTGTCCCTTATGTTTCTGTTAATCCTGCCACACTTGTATTAAATTTAACATAAAATGCATGCAATACACCTTTAAGATTATGACTGAAAGAAACTTACATCATTTGACAGAGAAGCTGACATTGATCAAGGATGTGTTCGACATTGAACTGAATGATCTTATGCTTGTTTTGTAGGATTTTTTGAGAAGGACAAGCTTAAAGGACAGGCTCTGTCACATTTTTTATAAGTGTAAACGTAGGTTTCTGGTAGAATGTCCTATTTGATCCATATGTTATGCTTTAGACAATATGACTTGGTATTTTATTTGTTAAATACGACTTCACAATGTGATTGGGAGAGCTTAATTGGTGTGGTCTTACTATATATGCTTCAGAATATTTATAAAAGGTCGGTAGAGAAGCAGAGCCTTAAAATTATTGGTGATTCAAGCCTTATAATGAGTATAAGCTGATGCCCTTATGAAGAAGGCATATAGGGTAGTTAGTATGTTAAATAGGTATCAATTCTTCTTAATTCCAATACCAATTACATTATTGAATATTAGGGAATGGGTATCTTTAGGGTATAGGTGTGGGTGTTGTGGACTGTGTATATGTATTTATTTATTTATTTATTCATTCATTAATTTTCCTGTGACTTAGTCCCTTATTCATCAGGGGGGGCACCACAGTGAAACGAACTGCCAACTTATCCAGCATATGTTTTACACAGTGCATGCCCTTCCAACTGCAATCCAGTAGTGGGATAGTATTTATTTATCATTTTAATCATTTGCATTGTACTCAATTTATTGTTTTGCATTTAAACTTTCTGAGATTTTGTAAAGTTAATCTGCTCTCAAAAAAAAAAAAACATTAAATACAATAAACAAATTAAACGGTGACGCGTTGGCGCAATGGGTAGCAAATTCTCCTTTAAGCAAGAAGGTCGCTGGTTCGAGCCTTGGCTGCGTGGGTCAGTTGTCATTTCTGTGTGCTTGTTTTCATTTCCTCCAGGTGCTCCGGTTTCCCCCATAAGTCCAAAGACGTGCTACAAGTGAAATCGGTATGCTAAAATCGACTGTAGGGTATGAATGTGTGTATGGATGTTTCCCAGAGATGGGTTGCGGCTGGTTGCGCTGTGTCAAACATATGCTGGATAAGTTGGTGGTTCAGTCCGCTGTGGCAACCCCAGATTACTACAGGGACTAAGCTGAAAAGAAAATGAAATGTATGAACAAATTAATGAGAACTGAATGAAAAATAATTCATTGTTAACTTTAAAAAGGGTTGAAAAAAGTACAGCAAAAATGTTTTTTTTTTAAAACAAATACATCTCCGTGTTGGTGGACAAACAACATTACTAAGTAGCAATCTGTGCATAATGTTAGTCTAAATAAGATCCATATGTGTTGGATCCCCGTCGTCCAAGCTACAGCTGATTTCTCATGAACCAGCAGACCTCTAGAAGCCCCGCCCCTCTCGCGTACAGTCCGCTGTGGTCGTCATGGGGACGGTATGAGAGCGAGGCCGCTGGTGGAGCTCGCAGCTCTTTCCTGCTGTTGAGAGGGAGGTGCTCGATCTGGCCCCGCTGCTCTCAACCTTCTCCGAGACGGATGATCAGAACAGAAAGGGCCGTCAGAATCTGTGAATATTTTACTTTACAACAGTCACCGCGTTTACAGTGACCCTGGGATTTCTAGTCGACGCAGCTCCATGGTGACCCGATACTGATTTTAAAGAGGAGGGCATTCACTGGTAAGAGCTCGCTTTTTTCCGCTGTGAAGGTTAGTTAACGTTAGCTGAGCTAACACGGTTAGCCACACCGAGTGTTTATTACTGGTTAAAATGGAAAAGCTGAAAAATATGATAACAAACTGATTTAGTTTAAGCACTTACTTAAATATAGAAAGAGTTATAGATTGTTACGGACTTTAGTATTCACATGAATGACAATAAACGTTAGCTCGCTGGTGAGCCCTAATCCAATCAAACACTATTACAATAGCAGTAAAAGGTTTTTAACCATTGATCAAACGACTGATTGTTGAATATGTAATCGCTTTATCTTTACCTCATTATCTAGCGAGTTTCAAGAGGAAATGTGGTTGTTAATTAGTGTGTCATAACGCGATTAAAAAAGTCGCCAGTCCAGCGATGCGGACAAAGCCTGTTGTTCGTTTCCTATTACCAATAGGCTGCCATTTTTCTCCAGTACAATGCTTAATGTCGATTTTGTGTGTACTATTTGTTAGTTTCCGTTTTATATTTATTGGCAAGTATTTTCGTTGTCAATACGTTACAGTATCATTGTTGTCAGCAACAGACCACGAACATCGTTGTAGCCTTTTATACTTGAGTTTACCCTGTTACGTCAGAAAAAGCCAGTGTGTTTAGTTAAATGTACTTGTAATATACATCCTGATTTGTCTCCCCGTTGCAAGAACGACATCTAAACATATACACGTATATATAACTTACGCACGCGCACATGCTCTAAACGCTGTGCTGTAAACATTGCAAGAGGACTTTAAAAACTTGTGGTCTAAAAGTTACAAACAACCTCAAAGTTATTACCGTTACTGTAAGAGACTTAATCGTAATAGTTAATGGTTCAGAATTTGGTTTGTATTTATGGTTAAATATAGTTCTGTTTTAACAATATTTTGAGGGCAGGACACACTCTGCTCTCTTTGTTGTAGTCATTCTGCTCTCGGAACAGTTGCACGTGTCGGCGCGTGTGACTTTTAAGCCCGGACATACTAGGGCTTATTTCTGTCTTACATAGAATAACTACATTACCATGTCCTCCAGCTCTCTCCAGTTTTCTCATAATACCTGTCCTGTTTTGTGTTTGCTTTTATAAATAAAAATGTGCTCGTTTCTGCGGTGAGGCGATAACGCCAGTGCCATTCCTCGTCTTGAAAACAAGATTAGTGTCATCTGCCTTCAAGTAATTGCTTTATAATTTGCTGGTGTCTCTTTGTCGAAGACAGCAAACACTGTTACCATGTTTTTCTACTTCCTGTAATCAAACTCTACAACTTTCCTGCTTTTCTCAGTAGCATATATCTTTAAGTTACATGAGTTTGCTTGAAATCTGCGTGTTCTGAAATTTCCTGTTGAAACTTGATCAGGAGGTTGTTTCAGTATGATATCATATGGACAAATGTAATTGTTGCTCTGGTGGAAAGCTTCCACTCATAAACCTTTGCTTGGTTTCCTATATGTGGACTGAATCCCTTTTTCTCGTTGTTTTTTTTGTGTTAAAAGGTGTAGATAAAGAAACCGTGTGAGACATAATACGCACAACAAAAGGGTCTTTCTTTACAGTCAGTCAGCCTGGACTCTCCTTGCCACACTGTTCTCAGCTATGTATTTGCGTCTTTCTCCTTTTCTCTGTCCTGTCCCTTCCTAAACTCCTGGCAGCTGGAAAGACTTTTCATTTGCATATTCCTTTTTTAGACCTTTTACATTTCAACCTGAAAGCAGTTCTGATATAAAGCAGGAGCTGTGGTGCCACATTTCTTTTGGCCTCTTACCTAGTTTTGTTGTTGTTGTTGTTGTTGTTGTTGTTGTTGTTGTTTTCTTTCTACTTAGTGGGATTTAGTATTATTCTCAAAAAACTGTGGTAAATTACTACTTTTCAATACAAATTAAATCTCATAAAAGCCAAATTAATTAAAAAACGAAAATTCTATTAATTATCCACCCTCATGTTGTCAAAGCAAATTAAGTTATTTTTTAATAAATGCTGAGATGTTCTGTCCCTTCATTATAATAGATTCCACTATAGCTTTGGTGCTTCAGAAGTTAAATCTGCAAAATAAATCTATTGTGTTGCATTGTGTTTTTTATACCCAGCAAGATAAATCTTGGATCAATAATGTTTGTTTGCATGTGTCAAAGAAACGCATAGAGCATAGATCTTGAACTCAATGCATGGAGAGCCACTAGACATTTCACCCCATAGACTTCCATTCAGGCATCACGGTGGCGCAGTGGGTAGCACGATCGCCTCACAGCAAGAAAGTTGCTGGTTCAAGCCCCGGGTGGGTCAGTTGGTATTTCTGTGTGGAGTTTGCATGTTTCCTCTGGGTGCTCTGGTTTCCCCCCATAGTCCAAAGACATGCGCTGTAGGTGAATTTGGTAAGCTAAAGTTTCCCAGTGATGGGTTGTGGCTGGAAGAGCATCCACTGCGTAAAACAGATGCTGGATAAGTTGGCGGTTCATTTCGCTGTGGTCACTGCTGATTAATAAAGAGTCTAAGCCGAAAAGAAAATGAATGAATGAGACTTTCATTCATACGCACAAGAATCCGTCAGACTGGAAATGCAAGTTCGTGTGACAAGTTTCGCAGTTTGCTGTGTTGCAAAGTTCTAGCTTGGTGAACTCTAACGTGCAAAATCGCATCACGTAACTGCATGAGACCAATTGAAGATCAAACCATGACTTCTGGACAGAAATTTAAAATATGGGCCAGTCGTACGCTTTTTAAAAAATCTAATCATCTTGTTTAATCCCATGCCTTTTCACAGTGCCGTACAACAGAATTTCGCATGCTCAAACTAGTATGACTGTGGTATAAGTTGGATCACCTTGATTAGTTGGATCAGCTGTGTTTGATTAGGGTTGGAACAAAACTGTGCAGAGTTGCGGCCTTCCAGGAATTGAGTTTGAGACCTATGACGTGGAGCTTTGCTCAACTCTCGAATCACCTTATCCTTTGCGTACCATGTGAATCTTGGTTCGAGACTTCCTGTCTCATTCACTTCCATTAGTTTTTAGACGTTAAAAACAGTTTCTTATGCTGCTTGATGTTGCAAACTGACATTATATTGTTCTACTTTGTGTGTACAGTCATGGAAACATTTGTTTGTAGACCATGTAGTTTGATCGTTTTATGCAGTTTAATATTGACTAGGAAATGACTAGGAAGTTCTAAAACAATTGCGAAAGCGGGCGCACTTCCACATTGAAAAATAAGGTCAATATGTGGATTGAGCAGTGTTAATTGATATAAGTAAGCCAGCAGACTTTAAACTATTTATTTAAAATATTTATCTAACTATTTAAAATTATTTATTTTATGATGTCTTTTATAAACTTTTTGTGCAACTTTCAGTGAAGCTGTCTACATTTTGAAAATGAACTAAAGTTTTAAGTTTGACATTAGAGTGAGCAAATGACAAAATATTAATTGCAGAATTTTATATAAGCTTGGTTCTTGGTCATTTATCTTTTTTACTTTAAAGCATTTTCAAGCAGGTGTTGTTTGATATGTGTGCGGCACGTCAGTCAGATTCGCTTACTCGGGACGCCATCTGTACAACACCTTAGTCACTTTCAACCGAATCCAGGCAGATTTTCTGCTTTCCCACTCTGGGATCCTTTTGGCATTAAGCAGTTTGTTGCAGAATGTTCTTGTGCGCCAGTCTGTTTGGTGCATGAGGCAGCAGGCAAGCTCTTCTTTGCCAGTGTGATGTGCGTCACACTCCTTGGGCTCCTTGGGCACCCTAGTGATACTCCGGAGTGAGGAGAGGAAAGGTGTGGCGATGGTGGCAGATTGGCCTCATATGAGAGCAGTAGTTGCACCCTCAGCATCCTGTTTCTGGGACTTGTGCAACCCATGTTTCTGAACTCAATTTGCCTTCTGCATACACGTGTATATCTTCTTTTGGAGGAATGCTGACAAATGGCTCCTGCTTAGTTAGCAGCACTGATGCACCTGCTCTCATTTGTGTAATAGTCTTGCTCTTGTTTTTCCCCAAGTGCAATGTAATATAATTCTAACACACTCCATTTTGTCGCATTTGCTAATAGGCTTCATATATAATGTAAACACCACCTTACGTTACATTGGTTGCCTGCAGCATCTGTTTTATATCTTGTTGATTATAATTATAAGCTGAAAAATGCATTGTGACACAAGCAATGCTGTTTCTCATCATCCATGGGTTAGTTACAAGAGTAATCATGTTTTGAAACAAAGTATTCGTTCCAGTTGCCTTAAATTGAAAACATATAGCAAAGTTTGGATTGTTAAAATGGTTTTCACATATTAAAGATTATTATTAGTGATGTGTGATTATTGTGAGATGACATTTTTGAGGGGATTTAAAGAAATCAGGGAGTTTATGAAGCAGAAAACAGTACTAAATTGTACAAATGCATGTAAAAACCTGGCATTGGTGAAATGCTGTTTACTAGTTAACTGGAAATGTTAGGATTACCTGGATTATGCTCAATTATAAAATTGTACTTTGAAAAGCAGTATTTTTCATTAACTATTTAAAATGTTTCAATTTGGATGGTTTGGCTTATTAAAATGCTTTTGACAAAGAAGTGTAATTATACTATTCAGGGCTCGAAATTGCGACCATTTTGGTCGCATATGCGCCCGAAAATTAATCTATGCGACCTCATAATATATTTGGGCGCATTAGTGCAACTGCAGATAATGGTTGTAGTGCGACCTGTTTTGATTTTTTGTTAAAACGTGCTGAATCGCTCTTCTCTGCCGCTATATTGGTTCATATTAGCTGTCAATCACTCAAGGTATTCCGCTGTCAGATGACAGGGAAGGAGCTTTTATGACCACAGGCAATGCAAACGGCTGAAGAGTAAAAACTTAAAGCACACAGGTTTGCAAACCCCACCTAAAGTTGAGGCGCAGATGAAAGCGATCATGACACGTCACGTGGTGAATAATGATCCGCCAGCTGAGATCAATCGAGTACGCGCTTCTTGGAGAAGGCGCCCAAATCTCCATGTGTTGCGTTCACTGCGTTCAGCGCAAATGTCCGCTAAAAGTCAAATCTAATACTGTACATATCATCGCCAAAGGAGCTCGCCTTTACTAAGTTTACACTGAAACTGCGGCTCATAGCAAAGACCGGTATTGCGCCGATGGTTAGCGCAAGAAACCTGCTCTGCCTGCTCATAAATTGGGTCGTCTGACTCGCCTGCTTTTCCACTAACACAGAAAAATTAAGATCATCTCAGACTGAACCTTTAAATTGACACAAACTGAAACCAAAACTTTTAAAGAGTGCTAGAAGTGAGACTTTACTTACTTTCATCATTGAATTTAATGATCTATTATAAACTTTTGTTTGTTTTGTAGCAGAAATATTATTTATTAAATTGACATGCATATAAAAACAGCAGTACAAAATCAATATTTCTTACTGCAATGCTTCATTTTTGTTTGATGCAAACTATACAATTATTTTTCATAAAGTAACAGACTTTTTATAGCAGATAACATACATTCATGCACATTCAAGGCAGTATCATAATGAGAAATGGAATTTATTGTTACTATTATTGTCATTTTTTATCATCATTAATATTCTATGGCCTAATTATTAGACATTCATTTTGGAATTATTGCACACAAATATCAATGTCTTCGCAGCATTAGTTAGATAGTTGTTTCTGGTTTTTGTCAGTCCTATTAATGTTGTTTTAAAATACAATAAATCCCTTAAAAAAAATTTGCAGCTGTGCACATTCATTTTTGGTGGGTGCTCCTAAATTTTTTCTGGTGCTCCTAAAATTTTTTTGGTGCTCCTAAATATTTGAAGTTGGGAGCACCAGTGCTACCAAGTAAAAAAGTTAATTTCAAGCCCTGCTATTAAATGCAATTGGAAGTTTTAAAAGAAACAGAGTTGTAACGTTTAATTAAAAAGACTGAAACATTAGGAAATTGGCCAGAGTGAGGCTTTGGTGTGTAAATAATGTTTAGCTGATTACCTGGATTAATTCATGTTGTAGGAATGATAATTCGACCATTGGTAATGTAAAATATGCCTAAGTTACGTGGCTTTGAAACTAGGGTTGCACAATATATTGTTTCCGCATTGATATTTCAATGTGATAATTCGTACTAGACACATCGCAAGATACATGCAATGTTAAGTTTGTATTATAATTGGTCACTTGCATGTGTTAATGCCTGGAATTGTATAATGATTTTAAAAGCATTCAGGCATAAGAAATTGTACCACTTGTGACAGACCACAACGGAAATGTGTAGGAGAAATTTATAGACCATTTTTGGGCTATTTCTACTGAGTGGTACAATGCGGTACGGTACGGGTCACCTTTTTCAGGCTTGCGTTTCCACTGCCAAAAGGGTACCAATGGTGTTGCATGGTGTACGACGGACAGTTTCAGTCGACATCATTCTTGCTCAAGGAAATATCTAAAGGTGTACGGGTCATTTACATATTGTATGATACATACATTGTGTATTAATGTTCATTACTAACCTTTCTATGAACATGATTTGTTTATAACTGCAGATCAATGACAGTGTGAAATAGCCTACTGTAACGTCTACAGTTAATATAAAATAAATATATAATTGCAACATATATGAACACATACAGACCCTTACAGTTTCCGATATTACCAATTACAGAAAAACTACACACCGCATACATTTAGTTCTTATTCGGGTTCAAAAACAGCACAAAATATAGCCATAGTCAGAGCAAACCTCTCATCTGTATCTTTAATCTTCACCAGCACACGTAACCTCTTATTAGAAAGTAATTCCTTCATTCCGAGTTCATAACAGTCCAAAAGAATAATAATTAATTATATATTAATAATAGTAGTTAAACATGGCAGTTTGTTCATCTTTTAGGTTGCTGAAAAAAATCATTTAATACTTTGTTTTTTCAGCTTTTTCTTTTTTTTTTTTGCTTTTATTACTCAAAGGATTGTATGTCAAAAGCACTTTAATAATCACACACACATTATTATCATCAGATTAAGAAGTTCGTTGTTTCAAATGTAGATGCTCGGTGAGCGCACATAAGAAAGCAAAACCACTTGTGCTTTAGACGGCCTTGTAAGAAACTACGGGGCACAGGGAAGACGATGACAAGATATGTTAAATCTCGGGTCGACCATGGGTCATTATTATATGTATATATTGTTACGGTTTAATGTCTAGGCTGTGTGTTAAAAAAATGTTGCTTACTTTGTTTTCATTCTCCTGGCTTATGCACGAGTAAAGTATCTCTGTAGCGTTCAGTATTGTTCCGCCTTTTGGTACCATTTTGTTGTGCTAGGGTACCCTTCCGAAAGGGTACCCAAAAAGTTGTACGTTATTGTTTGCTTTTAAGTTCCTTTTCAGATAGAAACGGCCATATAAGCATACCCAAACATACCACTCAGTGGAAATGGGCCATTTGAGGGATGTAAACAAAAACAATGGTCCTTGTTTCCTGTTTTACTTTTTTAATTTCTATAGCTTCCAAGAATCCAAAAAGAGCCTCATAATGATCAATGATGTTATAGCAGCGGTTTTAACATTAAGTTATGATTGAATTCCCTCTTGTAACAGTTATGAAATAGTTTGATAACAACTGTTCATCGGCCAATGACATGACCACATTGAAATGGTCTATTGATTGTTCAGTAAAATTTATGGAGATGCACTCTCTTCGTAGAATCAACCCAATTGTCTAATATACATTCTTTCCAAATTGAGATATTAAGTCATCTGGTGAAATTGTAGTCATATTGCAATATTTATCACAAAACCTATATCGCAATGCTAGATTATTCCAATATCGTACAGCCCTAAACGTATACAATTTCTTACAAGATGAAACATATCTATGGCAGTACGAATCTTTCTATGAAAATGTGCTTACTTTTTTTTTTTTTTTCAATTCATTGAAATTCTGCTAGCACAGATTCATGGTGGAGAATGACTCACAGTTTTTTTTTTTTTGTGCTGTTGCTGCCGCTTCTGTATTACATTTAATGAACTAAGCATTACGCTCCCAGTAGTAATAAGTGTGTGTTTGTGCCGCCAGGTTCAGGACTCTTGCTGCACAAGCAGGACTGAAAGATGTGCAATGGAATGGTAGCGTGTGAGACGAGAGCCTCGCTCGCTCACGGGGTGGCCTCCACATCCCTGCTCCTCCTCCTCGCCATGCTCCCCACAGGCCAAGCTTCAGGTAAGATTATTCAGAAAAGCACCTCGACCGTCCACTACCACACTCTTTGAGCTCTGATTTTTTTTTTAAGATTTCAAAAAATGCACCATACACAGATGGACGTTCTGTTTTTAGATTTTGCAATATGTAAAGTGGCTTTTGGGAAAGGTAGTGGCAGGCATTGCTTTTTCAATGTATTATAATGAAATTGTTTTCTGCATAATTGATCAGTCACAGAATGGTTTACAGTGGGTTGGTTTTGTTTCTTGGAGTCAATTTAATTATTTTTTGACATCAAAGAAGAAAAGAAAAAGGGTTTGGTCCTTTTTTTGCTTCACTTTCATTGCTCTGATATCAGAAGTAGTAACAGTTGGACTTAAGCTACCGTATGGAATAAAATAAGCATCATTTCTTTGTTTTCACTGGAGCATCTGGAGGTGTTGGTGGGGGATGGGCGCACACACACACACACACACACACACACACACACACATGCTCTCTCTTTTCACTGGGAGTGTGTGGACGTCTGTTGCCCCGTCTCATCTAGTGTCTCCTTCCTTAACATAGCTCTTTATTTTCCTCTACATAGCAGATTTTGTCTTAGAACTAAGACAGATGTCCATGTTGACTGGCAGTTGTTGTGTTGCAAATTAAATACTGAGGTGTGTGTGTGTTTGACCACATCACTTTTGTGTGTGCGTTTTTTAGTCATTCTTTTACCTTATTCAGATAGGACTAGTTTTTGTATGTGGAGGTCAGGTGAATTTGTGGTTCATCGCTTTTTGTTTGTAGACCTTTCTGGGTGGAAGAATAGATGGTGCTTGAAGTACTGTTGGCATTTCATCCAATGCGAATTACATAATGTAGTTTATAGACTTATTTATGCATATATAGTGTTATAAATGTGTCATAAAATTGGCGTTTGACGTGATTCAGGAGTTTCTTTCTTTAAAACAGAAAATTAAAATGTAGAAGCTTGATACTATTCAATACTATGGGAGAAAATTACTAATTACTAATTTGAAAAGCAATCAAAATTAACTCATTTAACTCATTCTTGAAAAATTGTTTTTTTTAGCTGATGACAACAAGTAAATATATTATTTTGTTATTCTTAAGACAGAGATATGGTACATTGCTATTGTCATAATTCCACAATAAAACAAGAATCAGTATTTAAGTGTACTGCAGCAGTAAAACTGCAATACTTAGTATCTCACTGCAAGTGTTAATCTGTCATTATGATTATATAAAGTGGAAAACTGCAGAAAAGACTTCTATGAAATTCATTTCCCTATAGATTCCAGTGAAATGTCATAATCATGTCTCCACAAAAATGTTGGAAGCAGTTGGGAAAATAAAGTGTAACTGTCAAACTGAAAACTGTGCCACAATTTGCTTTATGCATGCTGTTGAACTGATGACATTAGGGTTGGGCCGATAGACGATGCTATGCTGGCATCAGCGATCCTCCACCCCGCCCCCATCGCAAACCCACTTGCGAAAAATACACACTTAGGCCCTGTTTACACTAATATGTCTTAGTGTTAAAATGGCATTTTAGAACAAAAATGATCCACATCCACAACGTGTTTTACCTAGCATTTCTGAACAGCCCTCTATCCGTTGAAAATGCACATCACGTGACCACACACAGTCATGCGTTCGTCTGAGCTCCAGTGAGCAGTGCACGTCAGACAGATTATCAAAGATGTACCACTGAATTAGCATCTTACTATAGTTGTTAAACATGATAGTCAGACATCCTAAGTCTCCTGGAAGTTCCGGGAGTCTCCCACAAATTCACAGAGACTCCCAGATGCCCTCAAACGAGTGATAATCTCCCGGAAATTGCGCGTCTCCCTACTGGTTCTCAAATAAGTCGCCGGAATACTGCAGTGTGTGAATGCAGAAAGAAAATTGCCAGTTCAAGTTTAGAACGCGCCAACATTATATGTCTACTTCAGCCAATCAGAACATTCAGACACATTCACATCCGCGCTTTTTTTGTAATTAAAAGATTTTAAATGTTTTTCCAGACACATTTAGCTGCTAGGTGTTAGTCGGATCACTTTCTATGTTTCTTAATGACAACTCTTTAAAAAATTATCACTAAAATGTTTATTATAAACCACTGTTTATATTTTGTTGATTGTAATCATAAGATGAAAAATGTATTGTGACAAATACAAGTACATTTTACAGTAATATTACAATATTGCATTACCGCTGAGGCTAATTTATCAGTATTGCGGAAATTTCAATATTGATCCTTTTTCAAATGTTTTTATATCATAAAATCTTTTTGACTACGCAAATTATGTAAGTGCTGTTTATTTTAGTAGGTTTTGTTTTGCACAATCTTTTGTAGCGCCCACATAACAGAAAATAGACGCTCCCAATGCCATCCATAACATAACTTGAAATGAAAACCGTTGTGTTAATAATTGCTACCTAACTGTCAATTGGAATACTTGTTGTTGTCTGAATAGCACTTTAGTCTCCATTCCCAAATACACATGGCATCTGCACTATTTCGCCTTAACAACACGTGAACTGGGCTCAACAAGCAAATGAGTGTCTTTTGCCTTATGTAATATATGAGTCACTGAGAGCGTTGAGCTTAGAGAATAAATGATAGTGATGGTGGGATTGGGATGTAGCGCAGATCCCATGTGGCCACATTCTCTTATTGATACAGCACCACAAAGTCGAGCCAGGGACAAAAGTGTCCCAAGTGGTTCCAAGCAGAGTGTGTGTGTGTGTGTGTGTATATGTGTGTGTGTGTGTTGCATGGATGTATGTCTGCGCACACGTGTTTGGCATAAATCTAGAGCATCGGCTGAAAGCTGCATGTTCAGCCCTCCCACAGACCAAGCAGCGGACAGAAGAGATGATTTTTCAAGGTCATCGGATGAAAGACTGTTGGTGATATTTTGGCTTCCGTTTGTTCGCTCATGCATAATTTTTTTTCTGCCCATCTCAGCACATTTAATTGTTAAATGTGTCAGTTTGGTGTGTATGTGTGGCAGTAGCAAAAGTAATCATAATGAATTGTGTTTAAATATACAATCCCCAGTCTACCACAATTTTACTTCATTAAAAGCAAATGGTGTTTAGCAATAGCGAACACTGATTGTATTTCTGTTTGGTGCCACTAGTTGTACAATTGCTATACAAGATCTATCTTAATTTGCAATGCTGAGGTAAGCTCTAATATTGGTCCTCTAATTCATTTGCTGCAATGGTTAATTCACTAGGAATAACAAATTGCAGTAAACAGTAAAACTACTTCCGTTACAAACCAGTGTGTTTGACAATACGTTAGAATTTAAAAGTGTTATAAGAAAATCTTTTTTATCATCAGTCAGCATGAAGAGCTGTTTTGAATGGCTAAAAATGAATGGATGTGAATGAGACCGGAAATCTCAACACAATGGCCTCACATGTTCTTGTGTGAAAACAAGGTGGATACAGCATATACTTTTAAAGGATAGTTTGTTTGAGAGTTTTTCATTTCTATAAGGTTTCAGTTATAAAATGTTTACATTAATCTAATAACATCTTGTATTTTATTGACAAGTTCGATACGTTGATCTCCACTTTTTCAAAGCGATCCCCATTCTGCGAAATTGATTTTAAAAAAAGTTGTATTATCCATGTCAGGCATGTCAGAGTCCACAACTTTAGTCTATTCTGTACAAAATTATACTTTTGTGGTCTACACCTAGATCAGGGGTCACCAATCTCGTTCCTGGAGGTACGGTGCTCTGCAGGGTTTAGCTCCAACTTCCCTCAACACACCAGCCTGGATGTTTCAAGTATACCTTGTAAGCCTTGATTAGCTTGTTCAGGTGTGTTTGATTAGGGCTGGAGCTAAAATCTGCAGGACGCCAAACCTCCAGGAACAAGTTTTGTGATCCCTGACCTAGATGATTATGGTATTATCATTAAATACAAAACATAAAATTGAAAATCTGTTATCAAAAGTTTGCATTTTCAGTCTACCAAAATTCCATTGTGTAAAAGAACCACCAAAATGCATAAAAGGTTTCTAATTTAGCTGTAGTGTGTAAACTTCCCCTTTGTGGGCATAAACTGACCACTCAAAGCAGGGGTCACCAATCTCGGTCCTTGAGGGCTAGTGTCCGTGCAGAGATTAGCTCCATCTCTTCTCAACACACCTGCCTAGAAGTTTCTGGTATACCTATTATTATGCAGGTTAGCTTGTTCCAGGTGTGTTTGATTAGGGTTGGAGCTAGACTCAGCAGGACGCCGGCCCTCAAGGAAGGAGTTTGGTGACCTCCTGACTCAAAGGAAGCCCTACATCCAGTAGAACATTTTGAAGTAAGGTAAACAGGACTGAATTTACAGAGAGGAACCCGGATCAGCATGATGAAGTAGAGCTTTATAGATATAGGTACTTTACGTAAGTGACAAAGCAGAAAGAGAATCATACATGACCATGACAATGTTAACCTCCCTTTCTAATAATGGATTTTGCTATTCCAGTGAAGACCATCGGAAAACATTCATGCCTCTTAGAGCAGATCCACAAAGTCATATTCCAAAAACAATATATAATTTGTGGTCCCCTTTAAATCTGCGCATATTTTTGGCCATGTTGTGGAGCTTGATTGGCAAATCAACAATGCTCGTGTCAAGACAGGACCTGGAGAACAAAATATTCCCCATACTAAACACTATCATTGCAAAGCATCTAGATAATGATCGTTTAACGTTACAGCATCCACAAAAGATTCAAAAAGGCACCAGATTTGATGTTATTTTATGTTATTTATGTCATTTAAACTGACTGCAATAGCTGAGGCTTTTAAAAAAAACATCAATTCTTTTACTTGAGTTTCTTAACAGAAACAAACAAGAGAAAGTAGCACAGGAAGGTTACAGTAAAACCTTGCTGCAGTCAGAGGCTGATCGTAGGGTTTCTGGAGCTTGACTCAGCCCACACTATTTCACAGTGTGAGAATGAAAAGCTGCTCCCTAAAGGCCCACAGCTG